ATCCACGGACCAATTAACTCCTGTTCACTTTGTTCTTCAACTTATAAATAGTACGAGTATTTCAATCGCAACTAAATAAAGGTGTGTACATATATACTGTAGTTTACGAGAGTATTACACTTTTAAATAAAACACGTTAACGGTTCAAAACGCGAAATATTAGTTATCTTTAAATTAGTTTAACCGTAGTTCAAGTTTTAGCATTGACCACGTAAAAATTTCGTTTTTTATCCAAAGATGTCACTACTATAGCTTAATTTCTGCGCTTAAAACAACAATCTTTGCAAGTATCACTTTACTTAAAGTAGTAGAACGAAGTACTCTTCAGGACAGACTATCGATCGCTGCTCAAGTCTGGCTGGCTTCCAGTCTAGCATCGTTCAGAATTAAGCTGCGTGTACAAATTACTCAGCTAAGCCCGTGAAGGCTCTTAGTATTAACACGCTTGAATTGTCTAATCTCGAGAGATTTCCTCAAACTCTTTTGTTTTGTCTGTGACATTACTGCAAACAGTTACGTGTAAGACCTCCTTCATGTAAGAGATGAATTTTGAATAACTTAATTCTTTTAAATAGAACACTTTAATGGTTTAACTACGAAACGTCGGGCCGTAGTTAAAATACTTTTCAAATAACTATTATGGAACTAATATGTATCGCGTTTTAAACCGTTAAAGTGTTTTATTTAAATGTTGCTACTCGCGTAAACTACAGACAGTAGCATTTTTATTATTAGAAGAATTAAGTTAAATACTCTCTGTAGTTTACGCGAGTTGTACACTTTAGTGTTAGTAGTGTTTTATTTAAATAAAAATGCTGCTATTAAAAAAAGAACTCCGATATAACACATTGTTTGCGATATAAGGCTTTTTGAAGAAAAGAAGTAATAACTTAAACGCAGTCCATACCTCCTTTCATTTTAATTATCTACGAAATTCGTTTCGAACACATTCAAATGGTTCAGCCGACCATAGTTATTTGATATTTCTCTTCAGCATGTTTTTGTTTGCATCCGTTGAAGAATCTCTTTAATTCATCTTTACCCATTTCCTACTTAATATTATAAACGTGAAAGTTTGTATGTGTGGATGGATGTTTGTTACTCCTTCACGCAAAAACTACTGAATGGATTTTAATTCAACTTTCCAATAATGTAGCTTATACATCAGAATAACACATAGGCTACAATTTATAGAGATGTTGTGTGAGCTGTCCAAAATATGACATTAAGTGTCAAGTAACTAGGAAAAACTTACCTTTCCGCGGGCTATTCTGGCGTGCGCTGCCATAAACGTTAGTTACACATATTTATGTCATAATGTTAGTTGTTTTCTACGCCACGCTAATATAAGCTACTCCAAATACTAATCCTGCGTAGAAGAAGTCCCGGGCGCCAGATAGTATTGTATATTTTTTCTATTAGTTAAGCATTCTACATATACCTAAATATCCTATCAGCACATTTGGTGTAAACAAAATATCAGGTTTTTATTAATGCCAAATCTATTGCAGAATAATCAAATCGTGCAATACGGCAATCTTTGAAAATGGCTGTCGTGGCCAATCGAAGGCTTTTGCCGTGTCAACAACACGGTCATTGAAATTCTTGAAATCAGTTTTTGTTGCAACATTCGTTCCAATTAGAAGAAATACTGATGTGAATTATTAATGGTGGATTAGCTTTTAGTAGCGTGAACTAGCCTTCAATTCTTATAAACATATTCACTAGAAAAAATATATAAAGCCTACTTCTTTTAATAGCCGTATTCACTTTTGTCAGCAAGTGTACTATACATTTTAACAAGAGTTTGCCTCTTTCAAAACTTTAGTATTTTTCACGTGTTATTGCATATGATAGCACTATATCAATGAAGAATCGACTCTAGATACGCTAAGGTTGAAATTACATTGCGCTATAGGTGCATATATCAATGAAGTTGAAAAAATTCGACGATGACGTGTAGGACCCGGTAGCTCAATCGGTTATGGCAGCAGCACGGAACGCTGTAGATGCATGTTCAAGTCCTACCCGAGTATTAAAATGTTTCAATCTATAATCGATTTTTAATTTATAAGAGTTTGCCTCGTCACAAGTTGCTATTGCTATACGAAATTTAATAACTTTAAAGCCGTTTTAATATAAAACCTAAACGGATCCGCGTTATAGACGAAGGGTAGAGATTAGTCATGTTTGTTAATCCTTATCTCACCTGTCGCTAATGGGCCCACGCAATGGGTGCTCATCCGGACTAATGTTTGTGTAGGTTACGTTAATATTTAATGTCACTTTTAGCCCACAGTACGAAGAAATAGGCTGCTGTTCTTTTGATAATCCTAAATTACGCAAAATTATTTTGATATTACTAGTCTACCGCCTTTGGAACTATCTTCCCACTAATATCAGAATAGGTTAATCATTCCGTTATCTTAAGGATTCGCTTTATAAGTTTTACTTTTAAGTTAGCAAAGTTTTAACTATCAAGTTACTTTCCTACTTGTTGTGTATACTTTTACCTGTACTTCAGGTTGCCTGAAAGAGATCGATCCTTAGCGATAAGTCTGCCTTTTATTTGTAAGTTAATTTGTTTTTTTTTTCTCTTTCATATGTTTTTTCTATGGTGTGTATTAAGAAAAATAAAGCTATAATAAATAAATAAAATTAAATATTTAATTATTTACATTGTATTTAGAAATTATGGTCTTATAAAGTTATAGTAAAGGTAGAGATAATAAACTTTATAATTTAATTTTATGGACATCCTGCCCTGCGATAAGCGAAATTAATAACGCGTCTATGGCCTATTAAATACCACTTTCACTATGTGGCGCCAACATAGGCCTTTAACTTATTCTACTCAGATTACTAATGAGAAGAGGTCCACCTCGAATGACCTTAGATATAAATAATAAAATCAACTTGCTGTCCATAATGAAGAAAATACAAGTTTTACTCAAGGTGCTGACAAAAATTGGAAATGGGGTCTTACATTTATGAAAGTTAGTTAAGTCTTTACTGAAATACATCTACAAAAACTGTGTCTTTTTTGTCTTATTTTTTATCAAACGAAGCAAATTAGGTGCCTTACTTATTCAGATTCTTAATTCTTCATCTTTAATATTCAGTTAGATTAAGAGTTTCTACGCCCACTTTCACTAAAGTAACGTCGCTGATAATTCACTTGACGCAAACTGTCTATCACTGCCAAAGATAAGTTTAAGAGCGCTCGAATATAGCATAAAATAAGTAAGAAATATAGTTTTTTTTATTAAAAATAAATTTAAGATGAAATAAAATTTTACGACAACGGCAGTACTTGAACCGGCATTCATAGCTTTCCGTGCTGTTGCTCTAACCAATTGAGATAGCGTGTAATTTTTAATTAACAATATTCCCTATCAAGTAACAGTCCAAAGTTATAACTTTGTGTGTACTGTATTTGTAAAATGGTGATTCGTACTAAAATGTTTATTTTATTTTGAATACAAGTTCTATTTATAATCTCACTGCATCAGCTTTTGAAATGCATGTCACGGAGAGTACAAAAATGGGACAATAAACGGGCAATATGCCAAACTTGATATTGGTCATAATATTTAGGTTGGAAGGCTTTATAAAGCGCAAAAAAAAAATAGTTTTGTACTTTAGTAGCTTAATATATAAAACTTATAAAATATATAAAGATTAGATATTGTAATTGTGATGATAAATTTCTCAGAAAATTTAAGTCATTTGTTGATATCAAAAGCCGAAACTTCAGATAGAAATGTAGATAACAATATACACAATATTTTATTTTCTTTCTGCTTCACAAAATGATGACCAGCATCATTTAAAGTAACAACTAGCCGTGTCAGCGACTTTGTCCGCGTATTTTTTTTATAAACCTCTTCACCTTTATAGATTTAGCTGTTGCCCACGCCGTCCGCGTCGGTCGCGTCCCGTCGTTCTTGCAAGTTAATCTTAAAACATAAACATATATTGAGGAATCGTACTTTTTGGGTATCTTGAACCGTTTTCGCAGCGTATGCAACGGAAACTCACAAAGATGAACAAAACACTTTAACGGTTTAAAACGCGATATATTAGTTAAACTTATTTGGTTAAGGTTAGTTAAACTTATTTTATATTAGTTAAAATTATTATAAATGATTTTTAACTTCGGCCCGACGTTTCGAATGCTTTGCAGCAGCCGTGGTCATGGGGAGACTAAAGATGGAGGATGTCACTGACGTCAAAGTAAAAAATTGTTACACTAGCGCCATCTGTTCCGTCAAAGTTGGTATTTGGCGAAACCAGTGGCCGTTAGTCAATTCTGCAAACGGCCAGTTTCGTTTCAAACCGTTAAAGTGTTTTATTTAAATGTGTACTACTCGCGTAAACTATAGACAGTATTTAAAGATGAACAATTTTTCCATATTTCCCACTATTTATTCGGTCTTATAAGTAGCAGCGCGATGTCTTATAGCATTCCTCGATTAATTATCTAACTAACGCAAGAAGATTTTTTTAATTCCCACCAGCAGTTCCTGAAATTAGCGCGTTGAAACAAACAAACAAACTCTTCAGCTTTTTATTTTAGTATAGATTTCTATTAAATAATAAAATAAGGTACCTCAATAAACAAATTAGAACTCTTAATTACTAATTAAGAAATAAACATTGCCTGTTTATTCTCGTTAATGAGATTCAAAGAAAACATATTTACGCTCAACCGTTTCTTTTCAGATTATCAGCGAGCCATGTGATCATCACTATCAGTTCACGAAAGATCAGCGGTATCGCCACATCCCGAGCGATTAGGTACAAGATAGGCAAGCGACACATCTGCGCATTAAATTGGAGCTTTAGTTCTGTGTGGCCAACGAACGCAACCGCCAGTTCTCACCATATACACCGTAAATCACTTTAGAAATATTCACCAAAACAAAAGAAGATCAACTAGTGTTGTGACGCAATAGTCGACGTATAACTAGTAGTGTCGAGTGGACTGTTCTATCAAAATGGCAACTACGGGTAGTGAAATGTGGCTGCAGTGGTTCGCGTGCTGCTACCAGCCGGCTGCTCAGGCGCAGCGGACGAGGCGGAGGATAGACAGGTCCATGATTAGCGCACCAACCAATTTCCAACACACTGGACACATAGGTAATGTTCTCAAATTATATCTGTTATAGAAGTAATTTGAATAAACGCGTCTGTCTAATGTCGCACTCAACTGCAGATCCTGCGGTCCAGGGTGTTTTCTGGGTCGGGAAAAGAGATAGAAAATAAAATGTGATCTCCGTATTTGAAGAGTCTATAAAAACGCGTATTCTGGTTATGCCTAATTTAATCGTAGCGTCGGTTGAATATAGCCCACAAACTCGCATTAGAGCTGTGTGGTGGCTCTGAGGTCTTAAACCCAATGTTAAAAAAATATTTGTACCCAGCTCTATGATATTAATAGCATAAAAATGAAAAAGTAGCTATTACTGGATCATTTTAATATTTATTTCTAATAATAATGAGGGAGTTGTTCATAATTTTAATAATGTATTTAAAAGCATTTTAGGAACATTACAAAAACAATTTATGACACTCCTAAGTTAGTATATAAACAGCACAGTACTCTATTAGCAGTGGTTTCGCTTTGAAACCCGCCTGTTTCACCCTTTTTCAATTAACCAATATCAATAAAATTGTCGGTTATATCTTAACACAAATCATAGAAGTTTCATCGATAACATTATCGCGTCACTAAAGTATCAAGTGGTTGGATAGCCTCGCATTGATCCGATCATCGCGGTATCGATAAAACTGTCAATCGATTCATATTATCGAATAACCTTCGAGTATTGAAGTGAACGACCGAGTATAATTATTAAACACTAGCTGTGCCCGCGACTTCGTCCGCGGGAATAGCAGTTTTGGGCATCAAAGTAAATAATTTGCAAGCATCCTTGTTCTTGCGTCGTTGTCGCGGACATTTTTTCAATTCATTAATTGATATAAATAAATGTCCGCGACAACGATTGAAGAATCATTCTTTTATACATATTTTTAGATTTCGTCAGCCGTTTTTGGTACGCACGCGACGGAAACTCACAAACATGAATAATGTTCCCCGTTTTTCCTCTTTTTCTTCGCTCTTATTGGTCACAGCCTGAAGTTTTCCTCGATAATTTGATTTATACAAAACAAAAATAATTTTTTAATTCGTAATTCCTGAGACTAGCGCTTTCAAACAAACAAAACACTTCAGCTATGTATAGTATAGATAGATGTACGATTGTAATTTTGTAAATGAAAGCTTATATAAGTAGTTTATCAGTTTATTTACACAGATTTAGATAGACTGGTATTATATCTGAAAATTTTGAGAGCGTCTGCGCGGCATGACCTGCCGACCGACGTGTTTGCGACCGAAATCAATATTTTCTTTTCCCTCAGGATCCGAACCCTTACCTATGTATGTTCTACTATGTAATATTGCTATCATGATAGCCAATTAAACGTTGAGTGACTTTATACGTCCGACGCATTTTTTTATTTTTTTATTATTTATACTTTTTCCCCAACCCCCCCCCCCCACTCCCATTAACCAAAAATTTTTTTTTTTTCTTTTAATTTTGGGGTGTTGCGGGGGCCCCTCCCCCTTTTTTCCGCCCCCCCCCCCCCCCCCCCCCCTTTTAAAAAATTTTTAAACACCTTTTTTTGGGGGGGGGGGGGGGGGGGGAAAATTAAACCTTTTTTTTTTTTTTTTTTTTTTTTTTTTTTTTTTTTTTTTTTTTTTTTTTTTGGGTGTGGGGTGTTGTTAAAGGAACAATGTTTAAATCGTAAGTCTTATCGGCAAAAACGCGATAGTGATTAATCGTAGTCCATTGAATTCGCTGCTTTCAATAGTTCGTACTATGTTATTAAAACTTTCAATATTCACATAGGAACAATGCAGTTTATAACTAACCTTTGGTCTATGACTTGCTTATATAATAATTATATCATAATGTTAACATAAATTATACCGGAGTTTAATAATTATCTAGCCTTTAGATTGAAAATAGTTCTATCTTGGTTTTTGCAGAGATTTTGAAGGCGGTCAAGTTTGTCTAGTAATTCTTATTTAAATCAGAGTTTAACTGAATCGCATAGTCTAGTAAGGATACGACCATTTCTCGCGCAGTATATATGGTTCGGCAACCCTCAAGACATATTGCGGGTCTAGATATCTTATGCTTTGCAGTCTTATAATGAAAAACCGATAGTGATTAATATTCATTAAAACTTAACGTTTATATAATACAACAACAAGTGAAAAATATTCAAGTTTTCAACACATGAAATTATTATTATAAGGAAAACCCAACTAAGTATCTAATTATCGTAAGCCAAAATAGGTCGGTAACACATCTAATTCAGTTGTTATATAACTGAGATGCTGTCCTTCTTTGTCATAATAAACCAACACTTTCCTCAGCAAAAGTGCTGAACGCAAAAACTCATCTCCAACTTGCCCTCATTATGTCCATATACGACGAGTTGTGCGCACACGTCACTTAATTCTTCACGCAAAACGATTTCTAATTATTATCTAATCGTCTCACTCGTCCTGCCTTCTTCAGAATCATTTAAACCGGGAGTATATTCTTAGAAAAACATAATGATAGCATGTTACGTTTTTCGTACTGTTTTATTTATATTTAGTTCTTTAGGAACTGGTCATATGCCTGTGAAAACCCCCGTGAGAATTCACTTCTTAATGATCTAAAAAAATTGTCCGCGACACTATGTCTATCATTTAAGATTCAAGCGACGACGTCGTCGATAATAGCTATAATTTATACAGATGACGAGGAATTTTTGAAAACACATTCTGGTGGCCCATATTTATTTATTTTAATATAATACATACTCTTCATTTTACGTAGACGAAGTCGCTGGCACCATAACTCTAATCTCATTTTGAATAGTATAGAGTGTAGACCTGTTGTATGCTGCATCGAATCACAGAATATAATCATGATTCTTTCTCAGAATTAATATCTAGTGCAACAGGAGCCAACTAGCCATATTGTTACGCAGATTAAAAACAATGGTCTTATGGTACCATGAATGAAAAGACGTGGCGTTTAACCGTGTTTCGCTTTCAGTCTGTGCATTTTCCAAAATCCCAAGCCAAAACAGAACGACAGCGCATGTCGTTGAGATGTCATATGGCTCCATAGCCGATCAAGTGGACCCCATGCTATTGTCCTCCTCTATCATAAAAAAAATCAAAAAGTCATTTGTATGCAAGGTGGACGCACGTTCCCATTTCGGTAATGGTCGTCGGATGGCTTCCTTTTACGGCACGAATAGTCTGCGCAAACGCATACAGACGTAACTTTGTCTTGAATCCGTAGAAAACCTTCGTGATGTCTTCTTCGTGTTATGGTTGAGGTAAAGACATAGATGGGCAAAAAGAATAACATCATAATCAGTAGCGAAGTTATGGAGTCATAGTTATATAAAATAGATTTGATTAGGTAGAAATTGAATTGACCGGAAATGCGTTGGAATTTCTGTATGTTTGACATTATTTGTGGTATGATAATATAAGTTAACCACAACGTTATTTTAAAATACAATTTTCCTTTATTGCTTGAAAAACCCAATAACAGTCTAGAGGCATTTAAGTACGATGATTATCATCATTTTGTTTAACTATATTTCTATGGGAATCGTTTCAATTTTAAACATTTTTAAGTAACACAGGGCTGTGAACTAACTTGTAATAAGAGATTATTGGTATTGTACCATAAAAGAGGTAACTAAATATTTATTTAATACATTTGAAAACTTTGATATTTTTCACATGTCATTGCACATGATGGCACTATACAAATTAAAACCAATTGAGTTACGTCCCACGTCATCGTCGAATTCTATTCAACCTATTGATACATGCACCTTTTGCGCCATGTAATTTCTAGTATAATATCTTACAAAATCATTGAAACTGAATTAGTTAGAGCACGGATACTATTGTGCCAGTTCAAGTCCTGCTCATATCGTAAATTCTTTTCAATCTCAAATCTATTTTTGATGTAATTATATAAAGATTGATAACTATTACAAAAGCACAAATCTTATATAATATGAATGCTATCTAAGTACTTATATGTAAGTGCCCATTATATACTTTATGCTATATATGTATATGAATCTTGAAAGGTCTTCGTACTTTGTTGTCGAAGTAAAGGATACCAAAAGACAGCAACACATGCTAAGTATCGAATATCAATGAGACAACATATTGCACATCGCAGGAATGAATTCTAATTATGTTAAAATTAGCAACGGTCTTGCTTGTAAATACCTACTGTGCATTTACTTTAATGGTTTAATTATTCGTCGGGTCGCCAAATAGATAACGGGTCGCATCTTCGATTTTCCTTGGTTCTTACATGGTTTTAATCAGTTTATAATTTTGCACCGTGTGAACTATCCGGTCCTTAACCTTCTAGAAATTTAGTGGGGAATACGAATCACAGTCTAAGTGGTAAAACAGTGAAAAACAACGGGCTGTGGATACCCAAATGTCCAATGTCAAAATAGCTCGACAACACATGTTAATCATGAATAATAGGCAAATTTTTGATTAGACTTCCATGTTCTGTCAAAAACATTATAATTTTTCCCCCGCGCTATGAGCTCGTCCACAGTCCTTTTTATGTATAAATGCAATTCTAGGCAACTGTATAGTACGGAGGCATTCATAGCATCGTTGTTAATTTTATTAAAATTATTTGAAGTTTGTAGATAATATTAAATTGCATTAAAAAATAGTACCAAACTATGTTTTCATAACAATGATAGATATCTAGATATTAATTAAGAAGTTATCGAACTACGTAAACCGCAGATATGAAGGAAACAATATAATTACTGTTTATCACTTGTTTTAAAATAAAGTAGTCTCAGGGCAGATGTGACTCATTCTGTACAGTAAACATCTACCTATATCTTGTTTGTTCGTGAAACGTCTGGTGGACTAGATTTAACGAATTTATCTGTTTTGTAAATCATTTAAGCACAACACTCTAATAGTCTTTTCTTTTTACGACTAAAGATTCACTTGACGGAAAGGGAAATACTCCAGCCCTATAACATCATTCTTATATGCTTGGTTTAAAAATTTTAAAAACAAATTTAGCAAATATGTATTCGTTGAACCTCAAAACACTACTCATAACAAAAATAGACACTATTTGTTTTTTGCCACACTCTAATTGTATAGACTTCCGTCGTAAAAGTCGTGATCCTAAGAACAGAACGAAGGTTAAACACGTTGAGTCGCGGAACACAATTCGCTACTATTATAAACTATATACACTAGATGATCGTGCAAATGTGCTTTTGTTTGCAAGATTAATTTTATTATGTTGATAAACTCTAACAAATAATTGGTAAAAACACAACAATTTCGATCGACATATGTTTTGGGTTCTTGAACTTTCACATCAAGGTGAAACGGAAAGCTTAAAGAATTTACGGCGAGACAGTTAATAAACCGAAATCAATATAATTTTTAAATGTAGAAAGAATAATGTCTTTAAAGAATCCACTTGTTAGGGATAGTGAATTGAGAAGTGCATTAAGAAGTAGATTCACACGGACTTGCATCGGAGTGGCCACCAGCACACGTTGGAGAGACCTTCAACCTGAGGTCACTTCCTTTCGTGCCGAAAAACGTTTTGACCATGACCTTTCTTGCACGTATATTGCATAGTATTATATTATTTATATTTAATTGATAAAAAAACATCAACTTTAATAATTGTTTCACAAAAAATAAGTAATTTGACCCAGTATACAAAATAATATTAAGCAAAACTTTTTATGTTATAAAACTTAACCGTTATGAAGATACATCATTTTTTTTAATATATTGATGGTAATATTTTAAGTGAATTAGAAGAGTGGTCTACCTGACTGGCTATTATTTGGCTTTATTGTGTCGAAAATGATTCACTATTTTCTCATAAGTCAACTTGCAGGATTTAAAGCGTCGTTAACTAATTGGTGAAGCAAAATTTTTGTTAAAAAATAATTTCTCTATATTGGTCAACCAAACATAGAAAAAATTTTTGAGTGAAACGACACCAATAAATGACCTCTTCCAGAGTTTTAAAGGGAAATATTTTAATCTAATTGCATTTAAAAATATTAATATTTTACACATGCACTGTAAATACCAGGTCAAGTTTTTTACCTAAAATCGATTTTTAACTAATTTCATGTATGTATGTTCTATTTTAGTGCATCCAGTAACAGAACATACAAATGTTCACCTTTCTTTTTCTGAATTGTGTAATTTTCAATTTCAGGCTCAACAGACGTAGATATGCCGTCCTCTCTGCTCCACTCCATCCAGAACCAGATGCAGAGTAAAGGCGGCTACGAAATGGCTTACGGTGTTAAGGTAAATATAAAAAAAAGTTTTACGGTGTTGTGCTAATTTTATTATTAGTCCGAGTGTGTCTTTATTACACTGAAAATGAATCGTTGATATCATGTCAACCCAATTATGTTCTTTGTAAACGTTGCTAATACTTTTTTTTTCATACATCATGTGGCCCTAGACTACCTGTAATTTTTATTTTTTTATTTTTTTCTAATTACTATGCCTAAATTTTCAGGTATACTGATGCCAGAATGGTGCTGAAGAAACTCTCAAGAAAACAGAGTAACGCACCTAAATATGATCTTAACGTATTTATTGAATAGTGGTACTCTAAGTTTAGTTTTATCATCTTGTATATACAAAGTGAAAAAAGTTGATAGACAATGAGTTACCTTGATGAATGGCATAAGTCCAAAATGTAAGTGTATTCCTTGGCGTGATTAGGTATTAAATATTAAAAAAAACAAAATGAATTTAAAACGTGCCTTTTTAGGTACTTACTGTTAAATATAATTTTTCGCGTCAGATTTTATTAGATTTTTTAAGGAAATATCTTATTCAAATATCCTTACAATCAATTTATAACTTCACAATTTAATCCAATCAATGTTTATATATTTTTTTGTATTTGATCATGTCGTCCACTATTATGTTAATAAATCTAGTCGAATTAATTAATGACTGTTACAAACTTCTAAGACGTAGCATCTTGTCACTAAGAGATTTCGATGATCATAATATATAATTATTTGTTTATAAAACTTATTCAGCGTGCTATAGAAGTTTATTTTTCAGCCAGTATACATTCTGGCCCAAAATGCCATTAATTTATGGTTTTTAACGGTGCGTCCTTTCAGGTGTCGAATGATTATTATTAGTGTGACCGATCTATAGACTGACATTTTAAAATGTCCTCTGTTGATATAATTAAGTTAATTAGGGTAAAATTTTATATCTGTAGTTATGTTACGTTCTGTTGTACAAAACCAACCCTTTTCGCAGTTTACCTAGTTTGGTAGTACATATTTGTGACTAGACTGTATTGTTCAAGAGTTTTTTCCTATTTAAAATTTCGCTCTAAGTTATTGTGTGAGTTTTATCTGATACTATTCTCATGCATAATTTTAAGATTGTCCTTCTTTTCATGGCTCAGTCTTCATGCCCGACTCGCTTTGGGCATATGAATGACTAAATCGATGGAGTAAGTAGTATACTGCTTACAAGGCTACAATGTGTATACACTTTGATAATTTGAATGAATACAATAAAGAAGACTTAGGACTTACATCTCTTAAGATTAATACAAAAACAAATTAATTTGTAACTTCAAAGACTGATAATCCATCAATTTAATTGATCAGTTGAAGTGTGAAAATTAAGGGGCAAATCTACTCTTATGTGAATATTCTGTATCTCTTGTATTGCTATCCTTGTCGAGTCATATACATACTTCCATCCATCGCTATAAATCGTACTATTTTGTCATTTTCTCGATAAAACGACAAATTTATTTAGCTCGGTTTTAAAATTTCAAAATATATGTATACAAATGTGAAAGTAATTATATGGTTTTATTTATACTAAACAAATTTTAATGATATTAAAGACCTTTAACAATAATACGAGAGAGCACTATGGCATGTATGGGTTAAGAAAAATAAAACAAACTGACGTTTTGAAAAATGTGTAATTAAAAAATATAATAATACAATCCTTATAAAACTTCGGTTCGAGACAGTATAGTGACACTTAATTTAAACAGTAGTACAATTGTTTATAAACAGACGATGTATGTGGAGACGGACGTCGAAGGTTACCTTTTGCGGTGACGGTGCTCGGATCGCGCGCCGCTTGGCTTCGAAGATTTCTCTTTATATCGAGAAGAATCTAAAACGGAGTTTCAGCTTGAGAACGATGTGTCTATTAATTACTTTACGTTTCCTTTACGATTACGACAAACTAACAGTACTGTACAATTGAAAATACAAATAAATATCTTTCAAGTTTTGAGGCAGCTGAAGTGAATTGTATTGTATAAGGGGGCCATTTTGTAAAGGCCCAAAGTAAATGTGGGTGCAATAATATGCATATGGTAAATTTAACATTGTATAAATAACTTAATCTGTATAATTAAAATAGAAATTGAGTTTTTAATTAATAAGGAATTAGTATAAGTCCCATTTGCAAAAAATCTGGAAAACTTACCTCTTTCTCTCTCTTTGTGACGATGTCGCCTTTCCCTGGACGCGCAAGAGTCAGGCGACGAGCGACGTCGAGCTGGTTGCGGAGCCCCTGCACCCTCGCCACCCCACCACCAAGCTGGTGGGGCGGATGCTCGAGAACGTAGCGGTGATCCGTTTATACTGTAAGGTGGGATGGGAGGCATCTAAAGAAAATATTAAGGTTCAAAGTTAGCAAAAGGAAAGAAACAATATTACAATAACAATTATGTATATAAATAACCTACAGTGGCTGTGTAGAAGATGAATTTTCTTTATGAATAACATAAGTGATCAGCCTCCTATGCGGTCGGGTTCGGTTGCTTTTGTTTCTCGTATTGGACAACTCAGAACTTTCCAGGTATGCCCAAGTGTATATTTTAAATTATTTACTCTATTCCATTCTAGATCTTTAAAAGCATTGTCACCTTCAGTTTCCCTCTTGTCGACTTTATTACAAACATACATTACCTGGGGGTAACCAACTGGTGGAATTCGATATTGCGCCGGTGGTGGTACACCTTCGCCCTCCGCGCACACCAAAGGCGGTTGGGGCGGTCGCGTGGGACTTTCTGAAGTCGCCAACTGAAACCCCAGTTGATTAAAAAATATATTAAAAAACAGTGATTAAAACTTATGAAAATATTGAATAACAACAATATACAGTGTATTTTTTAAACCATGAAGACCTATGGTGACTTCAATAGAGTAAAGTTGATGACACAGATAAAGAAACATCGATTATATAATATAGATTATAGACCAAACAAACAACATTTTTTTTTATATTTATGTTATTATTGAATTCAACGTTTCTAACGCTTTGCAGCGATCATGCACGACTGGGACTTCTTCCTTCTATTGTTGTTGACTTTGCTTACGTCCCATCACTATGCAAATGTCAAACTAACAAAATTTTAATCTGTCGAGATACGTAAATTAAATTTTTAGTATTTTTCTAACTAAATTGTGGCTTTTACTATGTGAATTTGAGGTAGTTTATATAATCCAGTGTCGTATTTTTATTGTAAATCATTGTAAACCTTGTGAGAAAATTACGACTTCAGGTAAATTGTTTGCTTAATGAAATATCAAGTTAGAGATAATACCAGCACACACAGTTATGTGTTCGGTATGGAATAAATAAAATTCGCGGGTAGTTTAGTTTTTCCGATAAGATGGCCGAATAAGGTCTGCGCGCGCTGTCAGACGGTATTAAGCGCCGCTCGTCGAGTTCGTTAAGCGTAGTTTTAACGCCCGCGTATTAGAGAGACTGGTTTTATTATTTGATTCGGCGAGTGCAATGCTTTTAGAGTTTTTGGTAAAATCAGTTACTACGTACAGTGTAGCGACAAAAGCGTATAGCCGATGCGCCCTCTACTTTCAATCATAATACAGACTGACACGCCACAATATTAGCGTAGAAGGAGTTTATCACTGGACCGGTGGTATGTACTTTTTTGACATTTTTAGCGTTTATTGACATTTTTACTGTTGTCAACTTGTAACTTTAAACTTACAAGCAATAATATGAAACAAGTCTATGTGAACTGCAACAGTTTATGGAGAATGTTTAAAAAGCATTATGCTGTTGAAAGGATAAAGATTACCTGTTGCTTGAGATTGTTGAAGTCGTTGCTCATGTCTCGGTACCGCTGTAGACACTCTTGCCACATACTGGCCATTTCTGCCATCTCACTTCTTTGTTTATTTATTTCTTCCTAGAATTCGAAATGAAATTCGTTCATATTAAATACTATCCGTAGTTTAAACAATTTTAACGGTTTAAAACGCGAAATGTATTAGTTAACGTTTCCCCGTGACCACGGCTGATAAAAACATCCAAAAGCAAGTACGGCCTAAGGAACGCCGTAGTTAAAGTAATTTGTAAAGTTTGACAGACGGGCATAGTCCATTTGTCGGAATAACCCAGTCATATAACATCTAAACAAGGTGAGGTGCTGATTTGAAAATGCAAAGACTGGCATGGCTTTTTATTCGTAAGCTGGACAAAATTTTGATAGTTACCGCTATTTAGTATCTAGATTTTCCAGGCGAAGTCAAACATATTTCAGAAAAATAGTAAATCGAATAGGAACATGTTTGACCCGGTAGGGGTTGAATAATGCTCTGTGATATATACACGATCGTCGACGTAGCAAAATTACCATTAGCCTGGCATCTGTGTCCCCAACGTCCCTCGCCACAGTCTCATATCGTCTCATACATTCACGCCACAGACGCAGTTGCGCTGCAGCCGATTCTTGCATATTCTCAGCTGATTCTTGCTATACAGTAATAATCGTAATTATTAGCAACTAAACTATTAACATAGTAAAATGTATAAAATGTAAATCGTGGAAAGAGCGAATATTCTACAAATGATTCCAAAAAAAATCTAGTTTTACATTTTCGAATGTACTAAAACCGAGATTTAACTTCAATATTTTTCACACATGAATTAAGACGGAAGCTTAACGGCAAAGCACGGAACGCTGTGAATGTCAGTTCTAGTCCCGCCTGCGACTTTTTTTTTTTAAACTTAAAGGTTTTATTAATTATATTACATGACTATCTTTGTCACGGCACGGTGTTTCGGAGACGCCTTTGAAACACCGCATAAGCTCCTTCCACAATCGCATCATTTTATCCATTGCCTCCCGCTGTTCTGATATCTCTTGCTGTAAAAAAGGTTAGTGCAAAAACATATTTGGATTTTCCACAGATCGCTATATTTGAATACAAACGTTTTTTAATATGAGATAGTATGAGAACAATTAGTAAATCATGTATTGTGTGTAGTTTACGCAAGTAGTAAATATTTAAATAAAATACTTCGGTTTAAAACGCGAAATTTACACACAGTTCGCCAGGGACATGCGTGTTTTATTTAAATTTGTGAATTGAGGAGACCCACAATACACGCGACTGAAGCAACTAACGTGGAGTAAATTCACGTATTGTAAATTGAATATTAATAATTTAGACAATAGCCACTTACTTTTACCACTTTTAAGTAATTGCTCCTCCCACTGATGGTACTAGTCTCACCATCCGCCACGCTCAAACCTGAATCTCTTTCTCGCTCTGAATACCTTTCACGTTCCTTATAATCTTCGTCTCTCGAAGCAATAGAACTTCTGTCGAAACGCTCAACATTACGCCTGGGTCGCCTCTCCTTACTAGGCACTTGGGCAAAGCTGCGTTCTCGATTCTTATCGTCGTAATACCGTTGTCTACCATGTCTGTCATCCAGTCTCCGCTTGAAGTCTTCATACTCTTTATCTTTAAGAAAATCGCTTCTCGCTGAGCGTCTGAACTTATCATCGTCATGACCTTTCTGCACTTCAAAGCTCCTACTGGCCTTTTGTTCACAGCACAGCCTATCATTGTAGTAGAGTCGGTCTCTCTCATCATACTCCTTGTATGATCTACGTCCCCGACCAGCTCTATAGTAGTCGTCCACTGAGGGTCTAGTTGCAATAGGATCAGGGCCACACTCAGCGTATCTTTCTTGATCGAGAATCTTGCTCCTACCGATGTCAAGTTTGCTTGTATACCGCGGCGTCTCTTTATCTTTTGGGCAACAGGGACATTTGTCTTTTCTATCGAGGGCAGCGATGTTATCACGACTTCGAACTTTTGATCGGAAATTTTCGTAGCTTCTAGTATAAGAAGGGGACACATCTCGTGATTGTTCTCGACTGTTGAGCCGAGTTTGTCTACGTTCGACGTCGTACGACTCTTTTCTAGAAAGCACTTCACACTGCAGAGATTTGTGGCTTTGAGTGCGAGCCTGAGAAAGCAAGAACTGTGTTATCTATCATTCTTTCGATTATAGTACCTAATTGAGAAACTTGAAATTGGTATACCATGTGCTTGGATTCACACTTCGCCGTCTTTTCAGACATTTGAGCGCACAATTTTGCAAACGTTTCTAGGAGTGCAGTCTGATCGACCGGTGAACGACTTTTTTCTTTCGGTCTAAGGAAGAAAATGTCGAACAACATATCAAGTAAACGACAGAACAAAATGATGTACCTAATTCAAAAATCATTTCATGTCAGCTATTTCCTATCAATTTATACGCTAAATAGTAGTGAGTTAATAATTAGGTATAGTAATAAAAGAATCAATAAAAGATACTTGTCTCTCTCCCTATAGAAGTCTTCCCGACATCTGTGATGGTGACGTCGTTCGCGAGACAGAGAACCATCCACATCCCGGCTGCACCGATGTTCGTGCTTTTTTGCGTGACGCTGTCTTGAAATTGTAGGAATTATTTTAGTCGATGCACAATGGAATTTTTAGATTTAATTCAATATTATTAGTGATCATTGTATATACTTACTTCTTTTTATCTCGTTTAATAGCTTCTTCCAAAAACGCGTAGATGAAAGAGTCTTGTTCTTTCGGAAGTTCTAGTACGCCGTCCTAAATGAATTTTACTCAGCGTAATAAAACATTAAATAACGATAAGTATTAACGTAAAGTTCACAGAATATTTCCATTAATACCTGCAAGGGCGACAATGACCGAGGAGTTGAAATAAACTCTGGTTTTAAAGCCAGTGAAGCGTCTTCCTTCCTAAAACGAAAAGACAACATACAAAATGTCCATCTAGTGTTTCTTTGGATTCGAATCCAAATAATCTTGGCAGAACTATCACTATTGGGATTGACATGAACCAAATACTAAATGTTTAGAGAGTATCACAATATATGTATTAGTGAAAACTATATTATCTAAATCAGAGGAGTTATTTCTGATATTGGCGTGCACTAACCAAATATTATATTTCCTTGATAAAGATCTCCTTTAATAATTTTTTAAATTATCTATGTACAGACAGCGATTGGTCTTTTTATTGTATCTATAAATACAAGGATCGGAGGAAAGGTCTTTACCAACATATAAGAACTTAGATTTATCTATCATTGATCATTCGACCGACTAACCAAAGTAACATGCTACTGTACTTGTAGTAATTATTATCATTAATAGTTACATCGCAGATCTTCGATGCCTTCGAGGTGATCTTGTGCGATGCTGATCAGTCGGAGCATGGGACACAGAGGGACTGCTGTCGCGGTCTCTACGAACATCATTACAGTTCAACATACAACAAAATTCTGACTGCTCAATGTCTACAATATATATAACTTGTATCTTATTAGAATCAAAAAAGAACCTATTTCTCAAGCATTAAAGACTATTTCAATAATATAAGATCACCTTGTATATTGGTATTTAGTAAAACTCGAGTTTTTATTTTCCCATCTATATTATTCAATTAAACAAATTATGTATTTTTCAATTCATTTCGATAATTACCAAATTCTTAATATTATCTTGCCAGTAATGAAAACCTCACCTACCTTTTGGTAGACTTAACGTCGTGTGCTAAATCTCCTGGCAAATCTTGAAGGCTCGCTTTTGCCGAAGTTATGCATCGGCCATTGCCGTGGCAAACCTGTATTTTTATAATGCTTCTAATTTTTATAATACGCGTTGGTGTAATGGTAGCAATGTGTGCCTAGTAATCAACGTGTCGCGGGTTCGATCCCGGCCGTCCATCATGATTCTAAGTAGTAGGATTATCGAAATTCCGAACGGATCACTAACCACCGTCCACCGGCCACCAGATGTTTCTGTCTGTGTATTTCTGAATATCCAAAGCCGAAATGACAGCGCTGTTATGTTACATGACTAGGGTATGTCACCTTCCATCAAGTGAAGCCTGTACTTGTCTGTCCTCTATCATAAAAAAAAATGTAACCTTTTTTCTACTGTATTTTCCTTACTAGTAGGCTACTTTCAGAGTTGATTTCTACCTAGCTTCTATTTTTTCTCTTTCATGATGACTCATGCTAAAGCTAGCTCGTTATCTTCTTTTACTCACACCGTGTCTGTTAGGAGTAGCGGGAGGAGCAAGTTCTATCCGTATATACTTACCCCAACCGACTCGTCAGTGGCTACAGAGTTGCTGTCTTCGTAACCGTCCCGCTTCTTCCTCGTCCTCTTGCGCTTGGATGCATCGAACACTTTAAATACTTGTTTACTATCGCTCGGCTGACACTCCATCTTATCTCTTTGAAAGGACCGATGGACATTGGAATTTACAATATTTCCATTCTACAGTTACAAATGGGCGAATATTTATTTGAAATTTAACAAAACTGCATACCGAAATCACTAATAGAAATAATATGACGTATGATTCTTGAAAAAGGAATTGTCAAATAAAGAAATTAAGTGCCAGATGTATCTATCCTCTTTTTCGGTCAGAGTAATCAAAATTTGTCGTTTTTTTTTAGGTAGTCAGAGGAACAGAATCATTTGTTGTAATTATTTTTAAGATTTTTGTGATTCTGATGATGACTTAAATGACTTTCGACCTTTCCTTATTTTTATAAAAAGTCCAAAGTCTTGAATTAGAATCTTTGAAAACAATTTGACCTATTAGACGCCATAGACGCAAAACATATTCGATGATTAATGTTGCTCATTTAATGCTTTGTAGCATTAGTTATCCTCTTCAATATTTTGAATTAGAATCAGATAGAAGTTACGTATTACTTTATGCCCCTAGCGATAAGGTTGAATGGAATCAAGTGCCAATTCGAAAAGAAAATAAAATCAGATTCAATTTCAATATATTATAGATTATTGTAATAATTCACATTAAACTTAATTAAATCTTATAGCCCACATAAGCTCCTCGCTCCAAACCGACTCTAGAGGTATTCGGTATAAAATCTCCATCATAAAACCAATCGACAGATTCAAGTCCCATTTTATTATAAAAATCAAAATTACGAGTTATAATACATCTGTTTTCAATCGAACAATAGAAATCGATCATAGCACATTGACATTCTTGTAAATAAATCATCGTGGACATAAATAACGAAATTCAGATTGTACAGGCTAACACGTTCAGACACCTCTACAGTGCGGGGCGAAGTGAAGCCGAGCGCTATCGCTATATGTACACGTACCCACCGGTAGTTGGGCCTCCTTCGCCTCGCACCACCTATCGCCTAGCTCACTGTCCGACGGCAGTCTCACTCTATTTCACTGTCACTCACTGTCGATCGACGTCACTATATCACTTCACTCGTCTCGCGGTTCGTCGCACTTTTGTTGGCTGCAATGGTACAGCACGCCGGCGAGTTCGTGCGCGACCTTCTGGTCGAGAATTTGGCTCATCACGAGCGATAACAGTCTCCTTTCGTGTCGACGTATCAACGGTCGATTCTCCGGGTGCTCCGCCAAGCGCAGCAGCGTGGCGGCCGCCCGCCTCAGCATATCCAGAGACGTGCCCATCGCGTCGGGGTTGTCTCGCAGAGCCGCCACGCCGTGCTGGTTGGCCACTCCGAGGGCGGTCTGTTCGGCGCGCTCGATGAAGGCGACCAGCTGCGCCACGGCGGGTGCGTGCGTGGCCACCTCACGCGCGGCAGCCCCTCCCGCCCCGGCTAAGTAATGCAGCAGATTGACGGCAAACTCTCGAACGACAGGTCTCTCCGGCCGACACAGATCGCGAGCCAGACCCGCGCACAGCGCAGCGATGCGGCCTCGCGGAGGTGTCGCTAATACGAGATCTACGTTTGCGTCCGTAACGCACAATTTACAAAGCGCTTCCAGCGCTAACCTTCTAGGGGATAAGGGGGAGCCGGGGGCGGCAGCCGGGGGTGCGTCCCCAGCTACGGCGGCCGGGCAGACGCTCCAATGTAGTAAGCCGTCCAAGAGAGGCCGCGCCACGGCCTCCGGTTGGCCCGATAACTCGACGCTACCGGCGATGTTCGCGCAGCAGACCAACGCATCTTCTCTGAGCTGCGCCAGTGTGTCCCACCACCATTCGCTCTCGCCCTTCAAGCTGGAGCAACACGCGTCCGCGTCCACCTCATCTTTCGCGGCCCTTTCGTACGCCTTGGCTCTAGCGGCCCGGGGCGCGTGTTCGTGATGCAGCAGGAGTAACTTGCCCGCGAGCGCCAGGAACGCGCTCGACCGCGAGAATTCGGCCTCGTTGCCGGGCACGAAAGTCAATCCGCGCAAGATATTCGACAACGCTATGCACCGCTTGGCGAGACCGTCCCGCGTCTCGTTGATAAGGTTAAGGCTGGGTTCGTCGCGCGTGTAGCACTCGTCCTCGTAGTCTTCTAGGCGTCTCCGTTTCAGAACGCCGGCGGGATCTCGGACTTGTAACGTCGGCTTCCTCTCCGGTTCGATGTCCATGGGTTCGGCTTCTAAGTTATCTCCGTCGTCCGTCGTCGTGGATGGTCCTATAGAGTCGGGCGGAGGTTCCGAAAGATCCGGAGGGGCCGGCGTTTCACTGGTGCTTTCCGAGTGTGGAGAGGCCAGCGGTGCGGGGGGCGATGGCGCCCTCTCCCCGGGCAAAACTCTCACAAAAGGTAAGTGCACAAATTCGGCGCGGAAACATGGCATTACGTGGTCAAAGCTCGTGGCTGTGCCCATCTGCCAAGGCTCCATCACGTCTTCGACGTCATCATTAGTCTCGGGGTCCTCTGGTGCGAACAAAGCGTCAGCGTCGTCATTTTTGGTGGTGAAGGTAACTGGAATCCGCCGTCTCGACTGCAGTGTGTAGTTTTCGCCGTTGATGATCTTAACTCTGTCAGTGGGGTCAGGTGGGTCGCCTTTGCGCGCGGGTTTAACGGTCGGCTCGGGCGTCGGCGGCGGCGCATACCAGGGCTCGTTCTCAGTGGACGGCGTGTCGAAGACGTCGCCGAGACTTCTATGGAAGTGTTCCAACAGTAAATCTAAAACGCCGGGCATGTGGTGCAGTCCAAAGTAGCCTATACAGTTGTCGTCGAAGAGAAGTATATTGAGTATATCTAATGCCCAGCACGTCTCGGCGAGCAAGCCGGATTTGAGCGCCATCATGATTCGCCACGCGTCCACCGGCGCCACGTCGGCCTTGGTCAGTCTGCGTCTTTTCTCGGGCGCGGGAACCGTCGCTTCCACACACTCCGGGGGGAATGTCAGTTCGCGTTTTATTTGTCCAACGCCGGATGTGGCACCCTAAAAAGATAACATTATTATTATTATTACTACTATTTGTTTTAATGATATGAAATAAATAGAAAATGTATTCAACGTTAATTAGCCGAGTTACAGGTTTAAATTGAGGTGAAATGGTTTAAAATGGCAACTGAAATTACATGGTGCATTTATATGAATGTGCCAACAATAAAGGGTCCACATACATAAAAATGTTGTAATAAAAAGTGTGACAGACACACGTTAGATAATTTTTAGGTATGAGAACTCCTACGATAGGTCGAATGATATGTGAGCGTAACTCACAGGTGAGGGCGCGGCGGGCGAGAGGTCCTGCGGCGGCCGAGGCCCGCCCCATGCCGGTCCGCCCGCCGCCTACAACAACATCACACCACAATAAGAACCAGGATGTAGCAAACAAAATAGTTTTACATTTCTTGTTCAATGTCTTTTTAAATGAGTTAAAAATAATCTAATGTGCTAGTAAATTTAAAAATACAGTTTAAAGTATGTTCAGAAACTTCATTGACTTTTAATTGCAAAATTAATACATTCATGGTTCTCACTTTATTTTTAATGGAAAAAAAGAGTGAAAAAGTGGTGGTACAAATTGAATGAATATTAAGCTCAGGTTAAAAAAATTATTTAGTCTAACAAGAATGATTTATACCACCACTTCTATAGCGGTTGCAATTCTGTGGTTGTACTGTGAATTGATATAATGTATTATTAGTATGGTTGAATGCATCGATCACTTCAGATACTTTAGATACACAATCAGCGTCAAAAAACGTCCGCACTGAAAGAGCACCCATTCGAACATTTGGGTGTTCTTATAGTTTAGTAGCATTCCAACGTTCCGCGCGTAATGTGCCTCAGTGCTCGTGTAAAAAGAGTAAAAATCATACATCCAGGACGCTGAAAAAGGATGGAATTTCTTATTTTCGGTAAGTATTAGTATTATCATTATTTAATTGTTATCACTGTATGGTAAATACTAATATATTGTACTAAAAACATTTTTTTAGTTAAATCGTAATAAGTAGCAGAAGTTGTAAGCCGTCTCAATTATAAAGACTGTTACAAAACTATTCATTCATACTAAGCTAATGTCACTGTAATTGGTCGGCTACGTGTGTTGACTCTGTTCTGTTTGTTAGAAACACTATTTTTTATTTTTATGATTTTTTGTATGAATATATATATATGAACAAATATTGAAGATACATTTATATAAATTTAAATATGAGCATGTACTAAAATTAAAACTGATTTTTTTTAGCTTTCCTCGTGATCCAGTAAGATACTTATATAAATCACAAATGTGGCTGGCAAGCTCCGCTCTGCTGCTTACGCTGCTAGAAAGATTTGACTTACAGATCGATCGTTCAAATTACAGATATCAAGGCTGCTAAAATTGTCTACTTTAAGAACTTCCACAGTGCTATGGCATATAATTATTTGGTTTGAATTTTTAATGTATTCTTACATTTTGCAAGATCTGAAAGATCTTGTATTTAATTTATATTGTTTAGTAACTATTGAATTTGGATTTAGATACACAGTAAAGAATAAAATAAATGTTATGTTTCTGATTGTTTCAATTAATTTCATTAATTTGTGGTGTCCGATCCGAAAAAATATATACTTTCTGTTAAATTACAACCATTAGGTATATAATACATAGAATAAAATAACCGTTACCACTATTGTATATTTCATATAGCTATAGTCATGTCAAAGCGTTTAGGGACATTTTTTAGACAAATTTTGTATGGCATTGTGTATCTAGTGTATTAGTGATCGATGGTTGATTGCTACATATTGGTGGATTTACAACCAATTTCAAGTAAAACAAACAACGTATAAGTGAAATATTATTTACAATTTTAAAGCATCATACGAACTCCGATTTTTAGTTTAACTTACCGGTGGGTGGTATGGTTGATGTGGCTGGTGAGGTTGCGGCGGCCAACCGGGCTGCTGATGGTGCGGCAAGGGTGGATGATGCGGAGGACGCCACGCTGGCGACGCCGGTCTCTGGAAGCTGGGGCCCCACCCACCACCGAACCGAGGTCCGGCGGGACTGGGCGGCGCACCAGGCGGTGCGTTCGCATTGTAGGGCTCTTTAGCAAAATCGGGATGCCGCCTCGGAGCCCCAGCCGCGCCCGGCGGCCCGGCATTAACGGCCGGCGGCGGTGCTTTCCCTCCAGCGTACTGCTGTTGTGATAATATATTATTTTAATGTAGGTTTTTGTTAGGATTACGAGCCCAAATCCGAAATTAGTTATGTTATTTATGTAATACCAAAAGTTTAACAGATTTTACTACAAGCCTTCAATATTTATAATTTAATAAATAATAAATTAAAATGACAGACAGGTTTCAACTCACAACATTAAAACGTTGATACTATATTTTTGGCATTGCATAATAGATGGTGGTCATAATGAAGTATTATTGACAAATGTGTTGTATATAAAGCGCGATATCCTTTTTTAATACAAAATCGAAAAAAGAAAATAAAGTTCACCGCGCTTTATATGTTTCTAGAATATTACTTAACGCTAGCTGAAACCCAACATATACACAAGAATGATGGTAAGTTGATCTCTGCAGAATGGATAACCGTAACAGGAATCGAACAGAGATCCATTGTACAGCGACGCGATAATACAAAGCTTCGCTCATCGCTAGGCTTACATGAACCTGTGAAAGCATGCAAATGACTTAGTGAATTATTCTTTCGTGTATGTGAAGCCACCACCACACACTCTAAACCTTTTCTTCCACTTGTGTCTGGTTAAATTTGGAAAAGTGTCGGATTCGGTCTGTGCGGTCGTGAGTCGGCGCACGACAACCGCTAGTAGGAAGCCAATTAATCACACCGCAAGCCAAAAATTTGTTAACGAAAACTGAAGACAAGTGAAACAGCTCGAGAATTTCGTTAAGCGAGTGGTATTATTTTGAGAAATTAAATGAAGCCAAAACCACGTATGAAGTCGCCGAACCCTCCCAGTTGTTCGTAGCAATCGCCAAGTCATTGGAAAGCCGTACGATACGACTGATCCAGTGAAATGGATTTTACATGACTATATCTCGTCGCATCGTAAGTGATCAGATTATTAGAAGTTTACAGTGAAATTCCGATGGCATTCCGAAGTGTACATGCCCTGCCCGAACGAAACAATTTACTGTTTCAGCGGGATTATATTAGCGGAAATGATAGACAATTATTTTAAATATTGAGCTATAGAGGTTTTAATATTAAATACAAATTAACAATAGTAACAAAACTGAATTAGAAACGTTAAAATAAACATCTACAACTATAAATTATGATGAATATAACGATGCCAAATATAGGATGAGAAGTATGCTAAATCCAACAGAATATCAGTTACGATACGCCCGAGCCGTCAATACGATATCACGATGGGGGTGCACTGGGATAGATCGATGTGTGTGTATGGTCGTATATCGCCAATGGTGGGAAGCGGTGTGGAGTGCGTGGTACAAACGGTGGTTCCGTACGTAGGGGCGCGACGTGGGGGGCAGGGGCGCCACGAGCTGCCGCGCTAGTTGCGAGCTCATCAGGCTGCCGCACGCCGCCATCTACACACCGCCAACACGTCAGCGCTTGCGCACACACACGCCTCACATACTCTTATCATGTGGACGGAGCTGACACCTTACTTTTTAATAGGTGCCAACTTCGTTTACACAAATATAGACAACACACAAAATAACATCATTCAAGTGGAAACAAATCTGACAATTAAAAAAAATTACCAACAACCTTTAGAACACATGATGCTTCAATTCTGTTCTATCAAAATTATTATTTATAGTCACCAATCGGCAAAGGTTCTTCTAAATTCTATACATTACATATGAAGGAATTACAATTTATTTCTTCAAACTGTAATTCAGCTTAAGTACATAAGTACAAAAGCCCTGGCTTGTCATGTAATTAAATGCCAATTCTACTCAAATATTATCCTTCCTCTTTTATTTCAAATGATTTTTTTATATTTTAGGCTTTGTTATCCTATACTTTAACTTACTTCGTGGGGTTGTTGTGGCGAATGCGGTGGATGTGGTGGATGCGGCTGATGGGGATGCGGTTGTCGATAGTAGTCGGGATAGGGCTGTGCGGGCGGAGCCCCCGCTGGAGAAGGGGGCGCTGGAGCCCCAGGCGTTGCACCGGGTCCCGGTGCAGGCGCCCCGGCTCTATAAGGTCCTCCGTATCCACCGTACCTGTATTCACCTGGGTTGTAACCCCTGAAAATATATCAAGAAAAATATTTGATACAAAAAACAATCCGATCGTAAAATTGTTCGTACATTCTCTGCATTTGTGCACACAGTGGTATGACTTAGTATGTATTTCTACAAAGTAATCATACCTGTCGCCTTCGGGACCATACGGTGGGTAAACAGGTCTATTCCCCGGGTACGGAGATCCGTATTCATATCCGTAGCCCTGCTGGTAACCTGAAACACAAGAGATATAATTTCAATATTGTTTTTTACATAACTCTTTATATAATTCACACGTGAATAACGTCAATCACTAGCAAATAATATTAAAAGCACAAACCCTATAACTATAATACCACAAGCGACAAAAACAAGAAGGCACTACCATTAATCGACATAATATACATTTTGATGGTAAAGCATGGTGATTTAATTGTCATGAATCAAAGAATGTCAGCCAGTGAAGTTATTTATATTGCTTTTAATTATTGTGCACTAATTTCTCATTTTAATATTGCAATAAATAAGATATTCATTTAAAAAGTATTTATATGATTCTCTTTGCCAGTTTGTAATAAACAAACTGAAGATTGCCAAATATATTATTAAAATATATGCAGATACAATATTATTTTGCTTAAAGACGCTATAAACTCGGGAAAAGAGGGGAAGTCAATTTCTAAACACCTGAAATGTTTGTTTCAAGTTACTTCCCTTCTGTTCAATGATGGTTAAAAACACGCTGAATGCAACACGAATGCGTACACGATAACCAAACGATCGTCTACGGATTTGCGTACGCACCCGCAGTTTTAGGTAGCAAGTGATGAAAGGGTTAACGCATTGTGTTTAGTACCTGGCGGTCTCCGCGGGCCAGGCGGCTCATCGAACGGGTTGGAAGCGGCGAGATTGTCCCCGCCCGCCCCGCCGCCTACAAACCACACCTCTATATACCACCCGATACCACACAGTGTCAAAAACCTACTCTATAGCCTAAACGATTCTATAGACAAAATGTTCTCTTGTAGACAGAGTGCTCGAAGAGTTAAACGAATATATTTCTCTAAGCTATTTTTCTATTTTCATCGTAATTATTTTACAAGCTATGGTATAGAAAGATATGATGAGTGAAAGACATTCGAATAGATCACAAGTGCACCATGCACTATGGATTAGCAAAGATCTCCATCACTAAGTGATTGGTCGTAAACAGATTGTGAGACGGTTTGAACATTTCCATAATAATTACGAGGCGTTGAGGTGATTATTAACCTAGTGCATTGGTTAAAGGTTAGTAGAAGCAGTATTACAACTAAATGACCAAGTTCGAATACAAATGATGTAACTGTTTTTTTTATCGTGCGTATCAATTTTTACAAATATAAAGTATGACATCATTTGTATTCAAATGTTATATTCAATGTATTAACCTTACAAGCTAAATAAATAGAACAAGCATCTTCTGGTGTGTTCCTAGTACCTTCTATAGCTTCTAAAACGCACATTTACAGCGAAAATTTCGTGCTTAACTACAAACACTATGTACAACGTTTTTATCTTCACCTATGTAGAATGTCTTAAGAGAAATATGGTATCAAGAAGAGGAATTTTAAAATTCTGTGTTGAGGCTACTAGACCCTTTTCTAAGTAAGTTGTTTGAGAAATTTTTATTAACGCATCTTAACTTGTTAAGCGTAGTGTGTGTGTGCTCGTAAGAATTACGTGGTATCTACGTGAGACTACGTACCTTGCTGCGCGGGTTGCGGAGGGTAGGGCGCGTAATGAGGTTGATACGCATCTATTGGAGCGCCGCCCGCCGCGCTGCCTCCGAACTGCTCAGAGTTGTTCGAACTGCCTGCTGAGAGATCAAACGATTTTATTATTATCACAAGTAAATAAAACTAAGCCTTATAAATAACAAGAAATTGTAAAGTGTTTAAACATAACACTTTAACGGGGAGACCGTGACCACGGCTGCTGCAAAGCATCCGAAACGTCGGGATCGTAGTTTTTACAAAATTAGTGATGACCTTTTAAAAAGTAAAGTTGTTACTACGCATGACACAGGGATAAAGAAACGTAGATTTATGGACCAATACATAGATATGTAATTCATCTTACATAGCTATAGAAATGTTACATCCATATAGCTTTATTTAGTGTTATCCTTAGGCAAGATAAGTGATTAAAAATATGAATTTTATTTTTATAACCATACCTGTACGTTATGTTTAAATTACAAATACTGTGCAATGCTAGATGAAGGTATTTTTTAAATTGTTTAATTTATATATGTGTAGTAAATAGGAGTAGTAAATAGTTTTATTAATGTATTAATAGAAATCAAATTGAACAGCAAATCTAGGAGTCACTACATAGCCATGGAGTCAGAAATTTCCTTACCCTTACCTGCGTTAGCAGCGTTGTTGTTCTTCCCGCTCTTTTTCTTGGTAGACGCCTCCACTTGGTTAATGATCGGCTGCGGGTCTATCCCGCCCCGGTCAAAGTGGCACTCGTACGCTAACAGATTCTTAGTGTAGTGCTTACGCAGCGTGTAGGCTGCGGACGACGACGCGCCGATACCTAGCAGACCGGCTATGTCTTTCCATGTTTTGTTTTTCGTCACCTGAAATTGAGTTTTGTCTCATCAGCCCTCATCTTAAGTTCATATGTGATCGATTCCGTGTGGAAAAGATTTTTGACCACCTCATAACATTTCACTAACTTCTATAACCGAGCAAAATACGTACGAACGTATCGTAACGTAACGTCGAATGCAATTTCAACGTATATTGTATATACATATCGTAAAACACTTTTGAAATATTCGTATTTAAGTCAGTTGACAATGCTTTTAACGTGGAGTAAACCGAAATAAATTCTGATTTAAGTGCACTCTTTGTCCTATAAAAATTCCCACTTCACCAGCGCTATGACACAATCAAATATAGCAAACAAACAGCCATAACTAACTGAGTGAAGTAATTCGGAAAACACAAAGACGCGAAGCGAAAACATTAAGTATGAAATTTAAATAAGAGCCGCGCACGAGGCAATAATTCCGACTGTTAACGAGTGGAAATCTCACCATTACTTTTGTAGGAACGACGGAATATTTATATTTCAGTGCGCGCGTCCGGTCGCAGCTACGGACCGTTTAGTACTGATGAAAATACATTGTATGCATTTTCAAGCGCCACGCTACTGATGATAAAAATTTATTAAGCGTCGTTAAAGCCTCGCCCGTTTATGGCGACTATTCACATAAAGCTGCACACGCATCGACATTAAATCCGCAAGTGTATTAGTTACAGTTGCGGAGCTACAATTAACAATATGCATTCAAGATTACACTGCAAATACTCAACTAATGAACAGGATAGAACCTTTTGTTTAATTACACAAATGGTTCCTTTTACTGTAGTTGATCATTAGCTAATTAATCGTGACTTGGAAAACAAATTAAAACGTCGAGTCTAAACAAGATTAGAGTCACTGTAACACAATATATCAGGATACTCACTTCAACGAATCCGCCTCGGTCGCGCACCAGCAGGTAGAGCCTGTACAAGTCGAGCGGCTGCTTGGAAATGGTGGGGCAGGCCGGTATCGGCGTCCGGCGCTCCTCCATGAAGGCGAGCAGTCGCTCCACCCAACTGCGGCGCTCCGGCGCGTCGTCCATCTCGTAAAGCTTGACCAGCGAGTCCGACTTCTGGCGCAACACACATCATCATATACCCGTTACTACGCACGGTGCATAGGGAGCATCGAAAATATGCGTACTCCTACCGCGAATGTAAACTAATCACAAATAAAATACGCAAAACAACAAACACATTTTCGATACTAACCGTCGGATACAACGCATGCTATTTTAAAGAACTAAAAGCATAGGCTCGTAATATATAAAATAGCATAAGTTTTGTTTAAAATACCATCGATAATAATATAAGTTTATTTAAATATCTAGTCACATTACCGGCTAATTAACTCAATGCTTAAGAAAATAATAACAGCGAAACATTACAAGATACACAATTTATTCGCATTTCGAGCCAACACCAATAAGAAAATAAAAGATAAAGTAGCATAAGCATGTTGAATTTTGAAGCTCGTTTTAGAGGAGGCAATTCGGTAATTAATGCATGGCAGAACGCTAAATACCAATCTTATTACCATGCATTAGGCCATTGTTAATGGAATACTGTGTATCTCACGAAATATGGTGAGTCTTGTGTTGCAAGCCTTTAGAAATTAAAAAAAAAAACTTTTCCTTTTTTAAATTTACCGACTAAACGTCGAGTCAAAAAATCTACGGATCTCACTCTTTCGTGTGTATGAGGAAACTCGAGACTTAATCACCGGATACAATTTGTTTCGTTGTTACTTTTGCATCCGTTAATCTACTGTGCATTACAACAGAGACTCGGCCGCCTTCGTGAGATGTAAGGCAACAGAGGTACAGATTCGAGTTCTACTCATGCTTAGTGATTTTTAACTTGATATAAACCTTTGATCTGTAGGACTCCGGCGGTATGTGACTGTTAAACACCTGAAATACACGACACAATGCAATGGCTTACCCTCAAATTAACTACTTCCACTATACATATTACTTTTTGTAACCATCACATAAAACACTACCTTTTACATAGGATATTATTCTATTAAGTATAGGAGCAATAAAAAGTGCTATTAGTCAAAAGTATAATGTGAGAAATCCAAAAACACTGTGCTAATTTGTACAAGGACATATATAGGTTTTTATAAAAATATATGATAAGGACTTATAATACATACTGCCCATTTAAAAAAATCTAGGATATTATATTACCTTGAAGTTTTTAATATAATTGTACGTTTAGGGAGCGTGATATTAGTTTCTGGTCTTAATTTACAAACACAACCACAACATATTTTTTAAATATTTATATTGGGATATTTGTATAGTTGTAAGTAGTGATGTACTCACGGGACTAGAAGGCGGTCGCGGCCAAGGAGAAGGCGAAGCCTCGTAGTCGTCGTGCGCTGAAGAATGCGATCCACCCCCGGGAGAGGGCGAAGGCGCCGCACTCCCGTAATCCTTGCGAGAGCCTTTGCCCGTGCCGCACGGTTCTTCGCCCGATGCTGGAATTTAAGATAATTTGTATTACAAGCTATTCCATGTTTCTTGTGAGTTGCGGACCACACTATGAGAAGATGTGTTTTATGAATACAATTTCGACACCACACATACCATAAGTCAGTGTGCGATAGAAGGAGGAAAAAGAACTCTATATACATTCCTATCTGATTTGAGTTAATTGCAAATGCAATACCTGCAGACGCGTTGCTCAGGGTACTCTGTTGGCTCCCCTCGTCTAGAGGTGCCCCATCAGGGCCAGTGGTCACCAACGCGGTAGCAGGTGGCGCAGGCCCGTTATCGTGCGATTCGCCCGGCGCATTCGGAGGACCCATAGATTCGCCCGGCGGTCCCATGTGACGACCGACGCCACCCTGGAAACAAAAGTTTGGTTTAATTATTTTCTGTTTTTTTATGTTATCTGTACAAGTAGCTATATTGACTTACAATATTATTTTTAGAAATTTCGTTATACGTTATGTTCGCTTTTGTGATAGATAGAATAAATTTCATTTTTTTTTTGTTTCTATTTATGTCTAATGTACCGTTGACCCCAAAACAAAATCTTCCTTGCTATATGTTGTTTTTAAAGGACAGATCGAAAGATAGTTTTCTAACATTGAAATCCATAAGACACGTACAGGTTCTGACCGTCGTACCGAGTTTATGTATGATAAAGGTTCGTAATCTTACTTTGAGCGGTGGATAGTGTTGAGAAGGATGTGGCGGCGGGGTGGGCCTATATCCGCCGTACGGATAGGGATGGTTGCGCGGCGGTGGGTAGCCATACGGTTGCGGAGGGTACGGCGCCGGCTTGTAATGGTACGGTTGAGGGAGCATGGCCCCTGGCGGTGGAGCCCCCGTCGGAGGCGGGCCAGCTGCCGGGGCCCCAGCTCGCACAGGCGGCCCGCCGCCGTCCGAGAGTGATGATGACGGTCGCGGTGGCATACTCACGTTCTGCGTACCTGTAACACAAGCATTTGCCAATTAAATTTATTGGCAATTGGCAAGCAGTAACCCAGGAAGTCATTTACCATCGAAAGATCTCCTCTTGATAAAAAATAAAACAGTTAGTCTCGTCTTTTTGTATGTAACACTTGATAAAAATAAGTTACTACGTCGTAATAAATTGCCGAATAGAATGTTTGCTGCGAATGTAAAACGGTATTTGTGAAATCTGTTAAAAATTTACGGAAACAAGAGGCTAACCCAGCGTAGATCGGAAACTCTAAACAAACTTTACAACGGCGCAGGGAGGCTCACATGCGAATGCGGAGGGAGGCACTTGAATTAAATTGTATCCGAGAGTGCAAGCGGCAAACGTTGGGACGTGTGATCGATCTGCAGCTCGCACAATTTGAATAATACAGTTAACGAGGCTCGGCTAAGCCGGGCCGCATCAATCGAGGGAGACGCATCGGATCACTTTCGTTTTCACCTGGAACGTGAGCCGCGTGCTTGGCCTGCGAATTCTCGCTGCGCTTTATCGCGGCCCTATATGTGCATACGGCGGACACGCTGACCGAGGCCGAGATGTGGCGCCGATCTGCGAAAGTGGTATTGCCACTTTTATGTGGGTCGATTTGGATGCAGTTACGTTACTGTTACGATAGCATCTAGAAATCTTAACATTGAACAGTGCCATTTCATAATCCGATTCGTGGAAACGGCGCGGTCGCGTGGGGCGAAGGAACGGCGCGAATAGCTTACGCTTTAATCTCGCCGTTGGGCTATTATCGAAACGTTAATATGTCGGAGCGATCAGACTTTGGGTAGACGGCGAGGCGCCGGTGAATCATAGATAACGATATGTAATGTGCCTATATAATGGCCACGTCTATTGTTGTCGTCGGCTAATGAGCGGGGACACCGTAACGGGGACAGACGTCCCGTGCCGCCTTCCCGTAAAAAAGCGACGGGTCTCGGAGCGAAACGATGGTGAAATGCCCGCATAGGCTTATCCAAATTAAATCGGAACGGTTTGCTACGTTTCTTTGCAAGTTTTACTGCTATGCTAATTTTATGTTGTATTGTAGCGAGGATCGTTCATGTCGACGATTGGACGAACGAGCTCATGTCAATACGAAATTTCCTTCTTTAGCATTTTCCAATTATTTTTTTATATATTTCCAATTCATCAAAACTGCTTAACAGTAATAACTATCGAGCAAAAGAAATGTAGACTTGTATTATAGCAAGTATGATTGTATCCCTATTTTTTTCTTCTTCAATTTAACGTCATCACGAATTATGAAAAATCCTACATTAAAAGTTAAAACACAAATTTTTTCTATTTAATAACAATATACGCCTTATTTACTTAGTTCTATCAAATTTTAAATGTTAACAGAAACAGTCATAGAGCGATATCAGTTGAAGTTACGTTAGATAATTTGAAGTTAAGTTAGATAAAACAGCGTTAGACACGCTTTTCGAATAAGGGCATAGAATAAATCAACCCACGAACAATACATTCGACATGGCCCGCGAGTAGATTTACTTCTACAATAATGTCAGTTTCAATAGCTGTACGAATGTTAGATAATAATAATTTAACAACACCGACTAAGACAAATGAAACAGACGCAAAGAGCACGAGCGGGCTGTTGCGCGTGAGTGGCTCGATCGTGGTAACCAGCTCTGTCAAGGGCGGCCGCTAACGCCACCGAGGTCTTTACTTTCCACCCACAGTTGCCACTCTGCACTGCTGAATACGCATTGCGCAATACAAACGGACCAGATACCTTTAAAGGTACCGATTTAATGTCAATGCTTAGGTCGGAAATGTTATTACGCTACAAATAACTCGATTTAGAACCTTGAGGGACCCGGTGATTAGTGGTTTCCGTTCCCCAGGCGAAACATAGGGCATAGGAATTTCTGTGCAGGCATTATTCGGTTATTTTCGACTAGCAAAAACTTAGATTATTTTTAATACCACAAGTTACCCAACTACAAGCTGCGGATGTTAGCTACAGCTATAAATACAAGAACAAACCTTAATATTGCTAATAAAACTAGCCAGTAAAAATAAACAGTAAGTAGAGGCTACTTACTGTTTATTTTATATCATTAGTTTTTTTAAGATAGCGTTAGAACTGCCAGTGCCTTCACAGTACTGATTTAAACGTGACGCCGCATTGATAAAACGAATTAGTAAAGCGGAAAAATCATGCAAACAATCCCTCCCATTGAGATGAATCACGCACAAACGGAACTTAATTCCGCCCGTGGGCGACGTCCGACCGCAACAGGTGAAACGGGTGCAATTTCCTCAATTTCGACTCAGTCACTTATTCAAAGCACTATCTGATAGCAGAATGTGGGCCAAGCAGCGGAAGTCTTAAGGCCTATTTTGCTCTGCGCGTCGTCAATCAATGGGCGATATCATTGTCACGTATAGTTGGAGAATGCGGAAGCGTAAGGCTGCGGTCTCCTATAAACGCACTGTCCCCGTACAGCATTAAACTTATTGAGCTGCTTAGTCAGAACATCTTATGTTGACATAGCCAAAACCAAGGTTTCTCTACAATTAATTTGAAATACGACGCTGACACTGAATGCAATCAACCGCAACAGGAGACCACAGCCTAAGTTAGGTATTGTTGTGTATAGCGAATTCCAAGATATATTGAACGTTATATATAGTAGTAATACCAATTGGTTTAGTTGCCCTAAAATAATTTACATCTATCTAAATAGAGTATCCCTGACTACATGGATATTTAACCGGACTGTAGCTGATATAAATTCTAATTGATTTCCCTCCATAGTATGTTTTTTATATTGCGTTATTTCTTCTTAATAACAATGGATAGGTCTTATTTATTATCTTCTAAACATTTAGCCATTTCTGTGTACATGGATTATGCATTGATTTCAAGACGTAATAGAGATAAAAACTTTATTCTGTTTATAGCTCGGCTCATTATTTGTGCGAGTGTATGACTATCGTTTGACATTTATTTGCTTTGCGATGATTTAAGGGTACTTAATAACTGTTATTCAGTTTAACGTGGGTTTGAAATTGTATAATCAAGGTTCTTGTGTGTGACTGTGTGTAAGACATTAAGGGCGAGTTGCGTTACCTTCACTGAAGGTAACTAATGTGTATGTAATGTTTCTTTTTAAATTTCCTTCTAAGTTTTGGAATGTTAAGCAACGTTATTTTTTAACATACGGTAACACAGCCGTAGCTTAGAACCCAAACGTTTTACGGAAACGAAACGGACACAGAAATGTATTCGCCAATGCCCCGCGGAGAGGTACAGAACTTTATACTTCAAAACACCATGTTTTTTTTTTATGACAGGGAATATCGTTAAGAACGGCGTTTCCTTGATGGAATGTAAAATGTCCCAGGCCTAAAACACCTAAATGTATGTCGACGTTTTTAATAAAAGAAATTCAGTTTAAATACACACGTCAAATCTCATAATACTATAATATAGTATAAAAATGTAATAAAACTAAAGGAATTACTGTTTTGAATAGGTTTTTTTTTTTCAGGCATCGAGGAAAGCTATATCTTAGAATAACATCACGATTCAAGGAATAAGAGCGATGCAACAATGGGAAATTTGAAAAAGGTGAAAATCATTTATTTTTGAGGGCTCCGTTGCGTGTGTTCTGGTTCAAGAAACGAAGAAAGAATGACGAAGATAGAGCTCTTAATAATAATAATCTAAGAAAATATGCGCGTCGTTATATATGTTTTTAAGATTACCTCGCGAAAACCGTATTTAATGGTTATCAAATACAACATATTTATTTATGTTATTACACTTTGCAAACGACAGAACACCGTTTTGAACCAGCTAGTGTATAATATACAGCGTATAGCGTTAATACAATATACACATCTCGGTCTTGCCTCTCTCGTACCGCAGTCCAGTTATGAACGCCGCACGACCGTCCCACCTAACACAACTTGCGGTAGCTACTAGTATCCACCGCAACTAAGTGGTTAGACAGCGTACCAAACGTCATAAAGCGTGGATAGGACTGGTTAAGCTAAATGTCTTTATGCTGTTAGCTAAGCCTTAAGGTTAAAAGAAGCTTTATAATCCCTACGTCTTTAGATAAGCGATCAAAATATTTAGGTACCAAAAACAAATTGATTTGTAACAAGAGTTAGTATTACGTTATTCTGGGCATGGTCAAAGCATATTATATTAACTATGTGTAAGACACTGTCTGTAGTTTACGCGAGTAGTACACATTTAAATAAAACACTTTAACGGTTTTAAACGCGATATATTTTAGTTAGCTTGTTGGATAATTATTTTTAACTACATGGTATACTAAAATATATCGTTTTAAACGGTTAACGTGTTTTATTTAAATATGGGTAAGATATAACAAAAAAGATTAGTAGCATAGTAATCAGAGCCAAATGCTTGAAACTCGATAAGAAGATAAATAGGTAATTAATAATACCTTTTTAAAATACTTTTATCAAATTGTCTAAGCAGAATAAACATAGTTATTTGATAGAATGAGTATTATAGAATGATGAGCTATATTTGGATTGGCAAATTCCTTCTATCACAATACATATTGATTGTTAATCACAACGATAGTGAGAAAGACGCCATATAATCTTGCGAGGCATAACTTCTCCGGCGAACCCGTTCATGGAAATCCGCCAGTGAATTTTCCCGTGTCTCTGGAGGTCGGATTCGTCCATTGTCCGTCGGCGTCTCTATTTGTCCGTCAATATAATAGTGGACGTGCGACAATGGCGTTAACAAGAGCGCCCTAGTTGAAACAAATGACGGCGACACGGCGGCGCGGGCGGCGTCGGCCCATTTAAATTGATCACCGCTGACGGCGAGCCAGTTTAATAAACACGGCCCGTTTCAACTGAACGTGTACGCCGTACAGTTCGATTGTACTTTTTCTCTGAAATATCTCGACGGGAAAATATTGTAATCTCGGATCGTTCGATCCAGCGCTCAAAGCATATTATCGTTCAATAATGGCATTAAGAAAGAAAACAGAATAACATTATCGCTCTCCTGCAACGTTTTCGTGCTTATTTTTTCTTTATATGAGAATTCCAAATCCCTTAACTGTAATTTTTACCAAACGGGTTGTGGGTTCGACCTCCACCGGGTCAACGAAGTTTCATCCAATTTATCATTTTCTGACAGCATATTCATATACAGCTCAAACTATTGGGCTTCGTCTGTTAAGTGGGTTAGTAGGAATATCGAATTTCCGCCTAGGTCACGAGGCACCGTCCGCAGAAGCGTGAAGTTCTGAATCGCGTTTCGGTCTCAGTCTGAGAATTTCCGAATATCTCAAACCGAAATAGGTCTACAGTGCATCTTGTTTAAATGCTTTATGGCTGCGATATGTCAACTTCCTCTATCATGCAAAAAAAATGTTTAAAAGATTTTAGAATTCCCATTGGATTAGTCCGTTCGTTACAATTCGATTGTGAAAATGAAAGAAAGAAAAAGCAACGTGACTATTCAGTTTACGTTTAGGGTCATTAACTCGGCTGAGGGGTCGAAAGAATGTCCGTAGGAACCATTAGCCGAGGGTGGAACGGGGTGAATACGGTGTCACACCCTCGACTGACCTTGACTCACTGAGATTTATCACTTTTCCGTCGACATTTGAATACAATTAAGTCTTGCCCACCACGTTACTCCTTATCGCAACAGGTCGCGCTTTTGATCACGCAAAGTACGAGTATGAGTGACGTTACGTCTTCTTAAATTAACTCGATGACAATTGCTGTACGTTCGACATGATATGATGACACTATGGCACTATTTACAATAACTTAAATTTTTAATTTTAACTTCAAAATGTTTTTTCAGTTGCTAAGCATAAGACATTGAACCTTTAACACGCACGAGAGGTACATATATCAATAGGTTGAAAAAATTCGACGATGAATTCTAGGTTAGAGTAACAGCACAGAACGCTGTGGATGCCGGATCAAATCCCGCCCGAGTCGTAATTTGTTTCAATTGGGCCGTTCCGATTTAAATTTCTAAACATAGAATACAGACATTGCAATCAGACGCAACAAGAAATTGCCATTTATGCCTTTCAAGAGATTCCTTATAAAAAAATTGCAATACAAAATTAGAACCAAGTAGCGCTTCGTAGCTTGGGTTGTAAAACATTGTGTGAGCATTGTTTAGCATAGCATTAAGCGCATAAGGTCAAAGCTTCTACTATCAAATGTATGATTTCCATATGCCTGAGGAAGGGGTCACAGGTCTTCTTATTACAGACCCAGAAGAGGTAAATACGTAAAGTCAAATTAATTCCAGGAATACAAAAAGTTATGAAGAAATCTGTATTAAGGGAAAGCGAGCAAAATAAACGGTGAACGTGACAATGCAGCAAAAAGATGATTCCAATCTTTTTTCATTTAAAAGAGGTCGTCGACCTCGTCAAGGACGTGTGACACGTGGCAACCGGAGATTTGTGGAAGGACAAACAGACAGGTGCCTACGTACAAATGTACCCTATCGTCGGTGGCCCGAGAGGGATCGAAGGTTCGTGAATGGGGAAACACTAGAATTGACGTTTGTTTTGCTAGGAACTTTAGTGTAGGCTATGTAAACAATAATAGGACGTACAAAAAGCTATAAATATAATAAATAATTCAATAAGAAAGAAGCTTCGTATATACATATAAATAAATATACATAAGTATTAACAAATTATATTTTTAGAATAAAACATATTATTACTTTGGCACATTACTTCTGTATCTATAAGAAGTAAAGTCATTAACCATGATAAGATACGTAACATGTTCGCTTTATTGCAGAACATATTTTATCACTTTCGATGCGAGATTATCTTATGATTCAACACCACCGATTATGACTGACAAATGAACTTTAGTAGAAAACTACATAATAAGTGCAAGTGTGGGAACAATTATAATTCCCAAATACCAGTTTTACAAGCAAACAAAATTGCGTCTACGTTACCTGGAAAAGGTCAGAATGGCAAGCTGCAAGTTATTTATATCTGTCGTTGCGACGGGAACATTACCGCTCAAAGAATGTAAAAAGGGTACAATTTTCGGCACCAAAAAATCCACTCGAGTTGACTGAGTCAGGGTCAGTTTTATCTTAGCCGATGGCATTCCTCCGCTCGAGCTGCGATACGCACGACAGAATGACTGCGAAATGCTTTTAGAGACCGTGTACGACGCGGCCGCGGCGAATCGATCGAAAACGGATCTTATTCTTAAGCACATAGAACTTATTTTAGCCGATTAAACAGGTAACGCTGACTCCGCGCAAAGTAAACCTTAGAGTAGGAAAATTAAAGGCGTTTTTGAAAGTCACGTTGCATGCGGGCACCGAACAATACGCAATTCACCTTCGGACGCGTCGGGTTGCGGTGTTGCGGCTTCATTGTGTTCCACTAACGATGGAACTGCGATTCGAAACGAGCACAATACCTTCCACAAACAGCGTTTTATTTTTTATTTCCCTCGCGTCGATAATATTTCATTACGATCGCTGATTGACGTGAAGGATACGTAATGATAAAACGTCTCCATGGCAGAGAAGACCTAAGAAAACGAGAAAAATAAAAATAATTTTTGGGGGGGGGCCCCACGTGGCGAGGGTCGAAAGGGTCAGCGCGGGCCGAACGTTTCTTTGTCTCTTTGCAACACTGTACAAGTTGGATAAGCGTCGAATATATCGGAGTAGACGAGCGCTGCGGCCGAATTCAATTTGTAAATTCGCTCTTATGATAAAAGTTTTTCCTCGAGCGCTTCGTATAATTTTCCAATGAAAGAGTTCGTATTCACTGGGTGTTGTTTGTCGAGAGTCGTGAAGCCCGACGAGTCGAAAGGTTGACGTCACTTTATACTCGTGTAGAACTTCCATCGCTAGAGAAACCGACAAAGCGAGACTTACACTGCGGGCCGTGTGAGCCGCCACGTCCCAGGGCTCGCATAGAGGCCGGGTATTGCATATCGTCCGCTGCGGGCGGTTTCGAACGAACGAGATCCGCGGTGAAGGCGTATTGCGGTCACATAACCGGTATTCGAACGCGGCACGGTCGCCGCTCGCCAGCGCTTTAGCTCCAATGTTTTGAGAGAGCCACGTTTGCTCGACGTTCACAAAACACCATTCGCATTTGCAACGCTCTTGTTCTTCGCAACGAGCCACGGTTATGACAAACGGATCGCTCCGAGGCAGGACGCGATTAATGAAGAGGACGATGAAAGTAAAACGTTCAATAATAAAATTGAGTTTACTTTCGCTAGCGAAAAAACGATCTCGATAGAGGAAATTTTACAGGAAAATGCATCGTACAATCGATGAGGACGTTAGTTGTTGCGATATTTCCATAAATATGTTTGGTATCGTGTTGTCAACGACGAAAACTTGAAAGACTAAGGTAGAACGAATGTCAATCAACTCTTAACCTTACCTAAGTTAAAAGAACCGACACATACAGCAACATCATCTTGCAGATTACACAAACAACAATAATCTATAGAAACCTAGGTATCTTGAACTCAACATTTATGAATGGAACGAGACCCGAGATCAAATATCTAGGTTAGTACATAGTTGTCAAACAATTCCAAGAAGTCGGTTACGGGAATGTCTACATAGCGGCGACCCGAGTCACCAACCTCGTTATAAACATTGCTGTTCGGGTAGTCATATTTCAACTAACTGCTTTTATAGGTAAACTGTAGTGATGTTTCATGACATGATCGAGTTTTTATTTCACAGTGAGTTAACGTGACCCGGCCCTGTGCGTAGAGAGGTTCCAACTCTTCGAATCTCCACCGTCGGTTTTCACTTTCTCAATGGCAGTCCGTTAGTGAACAAACAGTGAATGGAATGTAGGTGATAACTCTTCGGCTATGAGGCTAGGTACATAAGGCTATGTATCCGTGGAAGAGCCGGTCCGGCGGGCGAGCGTGACGTGTAGACAGACGAAGGTAGAAAGGTCCTGTTTTGCGTGCCCGTAGCTGTGGGGGCAAGTTTTTCACGAGGCCCTATATACCGCGACCACCCTCGCTCGTACATAAGGTGGGTGGGGGGCGGTTCGCGCCCGCAAAAGGGGCAAAATACGGTGTACTCTGGGCGCCCGAGCTATGTGGGTCAATGTCGGGAAAGCCCGCGTCTGCTACTGACGAAGTATGCACAATGAATCCGATCAACACGCCTTTGGCGAAACTACACAGTTGGCAGACTGCGAGCGGCCCTATTGCCACTGCTCAGAGTCCAATGTGAACCGGTTCATCTGCCACTACAACGGCAGGTGAGGACGTTCGTAGTCGAATTTACGAAACTGATGACTTGACACACGAAGAAGAAACCAATTACGAAGCACCTTTCAGAATCGACTGTAATCTTATAGCATATGCCAATAAATGCCTTCATAACAGAACGATACTAATCCTACATTAAATCATCTATATGTATATATTATTTTGCCTTACTTTGGCAAAATGTGTCTATGGCGAGTACAATGAAATATGTATGCAAGTGTGCATGGTCAAAAAAGACCTTATTGCTCAACGAAGACTACCGACTTAATGTACTAACGGTTCACTCTCTCGTCTCTTACTCTTTTTGAATGAAAACTCACCGACAGCCGGTGACATGGATCGCGATCCGCTAGAGCCGGTGGGGCTCGGCGTGGGCCTCAAGTGCGGCGTAGTAGCGCGCCCGGCGCCACCGCTTCCACCCGAATCATTGCTGTTCTGCCCGGTCAGATCCTGGAAGACAAAGATCATTTTATAATTAGATATTTACCAAATATGCAAACTTTTTCAAAGTAGTTTCGGTCTGTGTGTTCTTAATATCCAACGCCACAATGAGACAACGGCGTATCTCGTTTAGATATTATGTTGTTGCTGGGTTACTCCACATTCCATCCAGGAAATCCCATAATATATGCTTAGACTTATACTTAATTTTCACTTGCTCATTGGTGCTGAGCTGGCTATTTCAGTCTATACGAAAAAAAGATTTATACAAGTTTGAAGAGTATTGTAGATGTAACCAATTAGTTCTAAACCACGACAAAACTCGTATAATTACCTTTACACGCAAGGTTAACGCTATAGACCATACGTATATGCTTAGCGGAAGGGCCATAGAACGCGTTACAAATATCAGGGACCTGGGAGTGACACTGGACTCCAAAATGCACTTCAATATACATATTGACAACATAACAACTAAAGCATTCAAAAGGTTGGGAATGATTATTCGCTACTCTAAGCCATTCAAAAAAGCTGATACCCTAAAGATATTATACAATTCTCACGTTCGTAATATTTTAGAGTTTGGAAGTGTTGTTTGGAATCCATTGTATGCTGTACATATAGATAAAATAGAAAAAATTCAGCATAAGTTCCTTTTTAGGAACTTAATGCCTTTGCTTTGGATTACTTTACGGGTAACTATTTTAACGACTATGAAACTAGCGCTTACAAACATCACTTACTATCTTTAATAAAAAGACGTGCATACCTTGATCTACTTTTTCTCTATAAAATTTATACACAACAAAATCGACTCAATCTTATTACTTAGTAAAATTAATTTAAGTTTTATTGTTAATTAAGCGCTATGTAAGGCCGTTTGATTGTAAGTTTAAATAAATAAATAAATAAAAAAATATATATATATACTTTCTGAGTAAAAATATGTACAGGAATCGAACCCAAGACAACGCAAATCAGTGTATAATCGCCCAAATGTAATATTTCAAGTATAATAAAATGAGAATTGCGACATCATAGATGTTTTACGTTCGATAAGATATTATAACAAGATTCTCGACTCCTTCGTTTAAAGCACGCGCTGTATCATTTGCATGCTTAATCGCGAGTCGAATATGCATCAATTAGTTAACAAACAGCAGTTAAATGAAGCACCTTGACACTACAACCCCGGCGTCGAGCAACAATGGCGAAGTCGTGTCAACGTAGCACGGTCTCTTGCGGTAATCATATCGCAAAACTAAACGCATAATGCCAACACATTCACTGTAATCGAGACGAGAACATGCGCATAAAGATACAAGTTATGTAATCATTAAAACCGTAAACGCGGGCTTTCATTGATGGTACCCGTTAACGGGAATACGACTGATAAGGAAACCATCAAAAACGGTGTCTCATCGAGAGCGACTCGATTTCAAGCCAAGGGAACGGCTCGCGCGTCGTAAATTAATTGGCGATCTCATTCGGCTGCAGAGCAACGGTACTGCTGTTAGCCCGCTACCGGAATATAGAGCTCATTACTGGAATCTTATGAGAGATGCCCGCTGAACACGTAACTCGGTAAATGCACGAAGTCGAGAGCGGAGTAATAATACGAGTGGAAAGAAATGTGAGCGATGTAGCGCATTCTCAGTAGTAGCGACGAAGGAGTCCGACGAGGCGACTCACGACCCCCCGCCGGCGAGGCAGTTGGACCGAGAGGCTCCGGCGTCGATCGGACGAGCGCGGCGGGGGCCGGGAGGGGTTTCACGACAACCGCGCTCATGTTTTTGCTGCGCTCCGAGTTCCAGCCCGACTCGCCCGTTCGACGCAGCGGCGCGTTCTTCATTTCGTACCGGGTCCATTATCTGTCGCTCCGTCCCGCTCGCACCCGCGGCCGCGTCGTCGCGCCTCGCCGCACCGGCCGCTGTTTTATTGCCGGCCGACGATTTTAACGTGCGCTCGCAACGTCCGGAGCACAAAAGTTTTTATGGAAATTTCATTCCAAATGCGCCTCGCTCGCTCGCTCGGGGACGTCAATATAAAAGCACGATAACGAACGGACGAGTCAATTAATTATTATTGTTGGAAGCTGTCGGGACGTGCCGGGCGCTCTATCTAGATTCTGAATCTGTGTAGTTCGCTGAAGCGAGCGTTTCACATTGTACTACAGAATCCATTTCGATTTGTTATTCGGTTCGCGCTAATAACAGATGGAATGCTGTATTCGTGTTTCTCACAACTCGGCTCCTTCTTTCGCTTTAATAGTGTTTGGTACTGAGGAAAGGTTTAAAAAAATAAGGTTTTGCCTATCTATTACATGAAAACGTTCTGCCTCATCATAAATAACAAGGCATATATTATAATAATTATTATTATTCTCGTATCTGCTGAAACTTTAAGACTAAAGAATTTATATTTTGATCCTATAAATTCTCAAAAAAGCAACTTTATTAAATTTCTTGCCAGACGAAGTTGAAGGAAAGCGAGGTAATTTCGATATCATTCGAGGTATTGAAAGGTTCTCGATCGAACAGGAAAACGTAAGTCTGCGACTTCCTCCGCCGGCAGAATTGATAGTTTTCAATCAAATCGTTGTCTTATTCAATTTGATTAGTGAAATACGAAAGTAAACTAGTGTGTTTTAAGTGACAACGAGAAGATATAAAAGACGATTCAAATAAGAACCTGAAATGATACCTACATAATTTTGCGATGTCATTGAAAGAATTTAAGAAAATAAGCTGGTCAAGTGGGAGTCGAACTACTCATGCACGACTATGTACACTAACAGTGCAATCTCGTTTTTAGTTATTTCAAGCGCTAACCTGCTACTGATTATTGATATCAAAGCAAATAGGCGTATCTAAGCTATTATTATTGATATAGATTATCAAGGGGAAATTAGTGTTTTTGTTTGTAATATTTGTTATAGCTCTAACGGAAATATAATACAGCCTGTTGAGCGGTGATAGACCAACAGCAAAGTCTTAGTAAACAGGGTTTCTCCTTCACCCTTTGGCAACGGAATCCTATCAAAAGCCCATAAAGAAAATACTACATGGCCTCACATTAAAATGCACTTCATCTCTCATTTTTACGCACATACACTTTACTCAAATACACAGAGGCACCATCACAATCTTAATAATCCACGTTATCAATCTACTAATTCTAACAAGTCCTTTTACATTTCCTGAGTTTTAGCCCTCACTTTTCTTTGAACGGACTGTGAACTAATAAACTGTAATTTAACATCCAAATCTAGACTCGACCTTACAAATTACGAAAATTAAATTTTTAGTTCATGTTTTACACTATTATCAGTACTATACGGGCGTTGAACTGTTAGTTAAAGAATAAATATTACACTTTAAAATGTACGCTGCAATTTATTTCAAGATATTCAACACATAAAAAATGAAACATGTTTACTTAGCAATTTTTTCGTAATCTAAATAATTGTAGCTTTTACAGGATTGAAGTTGTCGATTAAGGTATTATAAGTGATGATTATTAGTAAGCATAATTAACATTCCTAGATAATTTGACGATGTTTCTTTTAACTTTGCATCCTACAGCGAAAATTACACCGGAAAAGCGCAGTGCTACACGTCTATTTCGCTTATGACAAGTTTTTCCTCGATGCCGTCGTTCTTGATGCATTTAACGTGTCCAAAGTGTTCGTGCACGTCTCCTAACACCGTGAATTAAATAACACCGGCTTACGACATACGTATGGCGATACGAAGACGCGGCAATAAAGGGTGAGCGACGTCACCCGAGGACGCGAGATTAATCTGCGTAAAAGCGTTCCAAGATCATTCGTCGAGTTCATCGACCGGCGTGTGAAAATGTTGCCTCGTAAATAAATAATTCACAAGGCTAGTGTTCTCGGAGCACGTGGCGGCGGGCGCGTGTGTAGGTACATACGTAAACATTTGCATTACATAACCGGCTCGTCATCGACGACCGCGCATTCGGAGCGAAATGCTGGCTTCGTTGCGATCGCCTTCGGCCGAGATGCCGCCCCGATGAAATCACGATTAGCTCAACGTGCCGCGCTCGCCCTATTTACATTTCTCCGAGCCGGCCGAGTAGCGCCACAATCGATCGGCGTGATGTGCAAACGCTGAAGTTTCTATTGACAAAGAGTATCTATTAAGATAGCTCAATTGGTTAGAGCAACGGCACTGAACGCTTGATTCCGGTTCAACTCCAGCCAGTGTCGTAAACTTTTTCAATCCAAATCATTTTTTGTATTCATATAATACTGGCATGTGCATGTGAAAACTATTAAAGTTTTGTTAAATGCAACCTTTATTTTACTGAAGAATTTCATTTAACAGGAAGACCCAGGGATGTGTGATATTCAAAACCCATCTATAACTACATTGTTTCGATACAATTTAGCACATATTATCCGAGCCCAGTAATGTGAATCTGCTCTTGTACTAGAGTTGCAACGCTACAGGTATATCCTGTTATAATTAATATTGTGTTGCTTAGCTATTGTTGGTGAGTTAGGACATATAGATTGTGTTCGAAAATATTAGATTTTCTTCCAGTCTTCACATATCAAAAGATATGAAACCACAATATGTGGATAGACTAACATCTTAATTTATTACAAAACGCTTCTGCATGCTTAAGTTAACAAATGAGTTGGTACTGCCCGCCACGATACTTATGCAAATCTGACTTCAAGCCTAGCGTTATTGATTTTTTTATTTAATTGGATAGCTTGCTTTGATACCTTTAATGATTTATGATCTATAAAAATATCTCAGTAATCAGAGTAAGCACGACGGCAAATAATTCAAATCGCGACTGCCTTATCTCGGTCGAAAGAAATGCGAACGGAATGCAAAAAGATTTGAACGGCACGCGCCACTGTGTGCGTATTTGTGTAAAATGGAAGGTTCCGCGTAAAGACAAGTGTGGTTCAGTTTATTGAATCTCTTTATAGGCCACCTGTTAAACTCGGGTCTCCGTACAGTGGATGGAACAGCTGATCGGGCCCGAGCGAATTATTATTACTGCCGAAAGCCAGTGTCGGTTTATTTATTTGTCCCGAGGTATCGAGGGCAAGACATGAGGGCGAGCTTTGACTAGAAATTGTTTCGACAATGATTAAGCTTGTCTGTAGTTTACGCGGGTGGTACATATTTAAATAAACCATTTTAACGGTTTATAATGCGATATATATTAGTAAAACTTCCCGTGACCACAACTGCTGCAAAGCATCCGTGGTCAAGTTTAAATTGATTACGTTTGAGTAACCGTTGCAATCAAGATTACCTATACCAAGACTGACCGTCGTTAATCAATGTCATTATTAGTCGGTGGCATTGGGTTTCACGTTACGAGTATTTCCAAATAAATATAATCGTGCAAATGCCGAGAAATATTAAGCAAAGATCATTCGTCGAATGCGTGTTGTCATTTGCAGAGAAAAAACAAGGCATCGTTCGTCGATGATGAGCGTCAAGCAAATAACGCGGGCGAAATGACTAACCGTAATTACTGGCTATATCTCTCCAAATGACACGTTTCGAGCTTGAACAACAAATAAATGATATCTTGGCCTTAGATTATGTGTAGCGTACTATACATTGTCGCTGTAGATATGTAGATGAATTCGAATTTAATCTTTTTGTATCGCAACTAACGGAGTGCACCGGTACTAAATCAAACCCACCTCGTCACATAGATGCTTTCAATCAAATTAACACATCTTCAACATAAATTTGATTAAAGATAATAATCTATAAAACATATATACATTATCGGGCCGGGCGTTCTTGCAGATACGGTCCATCAACGTGAACGGCCGATGGATTCTCAAAGAGCGCAAGATAGAGCCGTCAAACGCATCTCAACAAACGTCGGGAGCGGCGACGCGTCAAGTTCGACACTAGGGAGTGAGCGAAAACAAAAGCGCGGCCGTACGAGCCGAAAATAAAAAAGCATTCGAGGGAACAATGCGACTGTCCAATTAAACGGGGCTCGCACACGTCATCAAAAGGTGTTTCCCGAAGAACGCACACACACACGCACGATCAGCTGACTGCTCCGATTTTAACCCACACTACGGAGGCAAGTGTTAGAGAACATAAATAATGACTGCCCACCTAAATAGCTATACGTAACACATCGTATAATTTGTTTTAAACGGCCGCCCGGCCCGAGAACGTGCGATACGCCACTTTTCCCCGCTCGCACTCTGTACTGCGGGGACCGCATAGAGGCGAGGCGGGCTAAGTGTTGGCGCTTAGGACGTTCTGCGCCGGGACGTGCGGAGCGTGAGATCGCATTAAATAATCAGTTTCTCATAAACACAATGAGCACGCACACGCCGATAACAAAGCCGAGGTGATAATAACAAGAAAACAATTTCTACGGCTATTCCGCGCGACCTATTCGATACGTTTTCGTGCGGGCTTAGGGTGTGCGGTTGAATTTCTTGAAATAATATCTCGAATGTAAAGAGGAGATAACGCAATCTGAGATAGCAACGTGTTTGCTGTGATATTTTTGCCTCCTGATTGTCATTTGTAATGCCTGAACGTGCTTGGCTAGAGAAGAAACTCAGCGTTTCGATATAACTATTATCCAGAATTTCTATATTTCGAAATTCATAAAAATGGTAGCAAGTCTGCCTCATCGCTTATAAGAAATACAAAAACACCAGATTCCTATACCTAATTTAAGGTTATATTCATGTAAAACTGCCATAGAATAAAAAAAGCTCTAAGCTTCAAAATACAATTGAACACAAATTTATATGTTATAATCTGATAATATGTTAGGAATGTAAATTTTGCCTAATTCACAATTGAATAGTAAGTCTAGACTAGAATAAGTTTTATGCGTCTAGATATAACTATACTACAACGCAACAAAGAGTAATCTTATATTTTTAGTTTATCTATACAAACGTGAATTTTGGTTAATATTCACTTGTACAATATGAAGAAGAAAACGCCATAGCGAGTACCGACAGAATGCGCCTACTAAGTCTACCGACGGCAAACGGAAAGGCCGGGAACTACCAAGCACGGCTAACCGTTGAGCAGCAACATAGAAAACAAACATTTGCAAAGTGATAATTGATAAGCCGAAGTTAAAGTAAAAACTTTTTTTATTTTCTGATGAGTGACAAAGAAATAAAGGGTTTCGTTAGACACTAACAATAAACGTAAGTGCATATGGAGCTGAGGCATAACATTTTGAGGAGTGCAAACTTTCCAACAGTCATCGGTCATATGATAATAAAAACAAACATCTAGTCCCACCGGCGCAAAATAGAATCTCTACTGAGTATTGAGCCCACGCACACAGCCAAACGCGCGGTCGGATGTCACCCACACGGAGGCAGAGGGCCGTGTTCACGCACACTCGCACCGAAGCAGTTCGCCCGTAGATAAGAATCGTCCCATTTTATTACATCCAAGAGTCATGCGGCGATACTTACTGTATTCGCAGGCAGCCTTATGACGACGGCCGTCTTGAGTTATTATGTGCCGCTCTTTATTCGGAACGCAGCGCCCGTACACTTAGCACACACAGTTATTCACTTCGCCCGATGGTTTTTCTTCAAATCGAGCTAGAAGCGCCAAAGCCGAGACCGTGGAACGCGGAGAGAGAGCCGAGGGAGGCGTACGAGCCGAGAGCAGTGGAATACTTTGAATATAATGGAATACGCTCGATTGCAGTAGCGGTGCGCGCGTTTCAGTTGGCGCACAACGACTGGCGCAGACGAGGCGCGCGGTGCGACGCAGCGGGCGGGCGAACGAGCGATTTCACCGCTGATATTGCGACGGCACGTCGCTCGGAGCCCGACCCATATTATGTATAGCTATGGGTGGCGACGCTTCAAGGGAAAACGCGCTGCCAGAATTCAGAGAAACGCTTTTTTCAATGAGACGTCGAAATGCATCGTGAGGATAAACGGAACCGTTCTCTTTTGATGCGGAATAAACTTTAATACCTTTCAAATAATTTATAATAACAGATAAAGTCCCGCACCGACCTGCGACGCTCGAGACTACTTTATCGCACAATTACGTCGAACGTATTATCTCTATCTAGTTATTATGTCCGGTTCTTGAATAAACATCCGAACTGGATCGAATACTATAGTAGAAAAGCGCTAAGCGAAGCGAGAAAATTACTTTTCGTAGACGAGTGCCGAATGCTCGTGCAGTGCTGGAAGCGCTTCGTTGGTCGCGCGGAGGCGAGGGCAGGCGGGCGAGCGGGGGGCCGCGCGGCCGGCTCTACAGAGAACCGTCCAACGCTAACTCGACCAGTTAGTTATTTGTTCGTGCACACTAGCCTTTTGTAACAAACATTGCAAATCAGCTTAGTTCTGGTATGGCTTTAATCATATATTGTGACTTTTATTCGATCCACACAAATGCGAAACTATCACGCCGCAAAAGGCATACCTACAATGCTATTATCACGCAATGCAATACGAGTAGCTAGGTACATACCGCAGCAAAAAAACTAAGTCTGTTTAGGGGTGGGACGAATGCTAGGACTCACAATTTGGAGGATTTCAAGCAGCAATTTGCTATATTAAAATATTTATAGCTTAAGAAAATAGCTTATAATCGGCGCCTGTAAAAGATTTTAAATACCGGTCGGCCCCCCCCCATTTTTTCCCCCCTTTTTTTTAAAATTAAGACTGATTAGAACAGCATCTGAGAAGTGGGTTCCACAATCTAACACAATATGTTCTATTTATGTGTTTACAACTCACTACTAAAAAGTAGAGAAAGGATGACGTTAAATTTAAATTGATGCGACGTAATGCGAGATACAAAGGACAGGGTGTCAAACACCTGAATTAATTTGATGGAAGCTCCCCTACTACTGATGGGATGACGTTAATAGTGAAAATGTCGTCACTAGATAGGCTTAAGACTGAATTTAATTTATCCTCCTATTAGCTCAATGAATAAAACAGGCTTTTTTCATAAGTCCGGAGTCTCGTGAAAATTCATGTGTCACAATGTTAATTACCAAAGTTCTGTGCGATTCCAATTTTTATATAAGTTTAAATGCATTAGTAGATCAGATCTAACACTACAATTTTTAATACGTTCTAAACATAAAAACATAATTATTTATAACGTGGAATTCAAAATACATCTCTTAAGCGCTAGTTTTGTAATTATTTTCATACAGTTATCATTCACAGATCTATCTATCCCCTCCAATAAGTATTGTTTTTTATTTTTGTACACTATTAGGTAAAAATAATTTATTTAGCAAAACAAGGCTTAGCTATATAGCTTACGCTTTCGTTTCCATTCGTATTCAAACTATTATGATTAGAGATAGAGCAAGCACTACACTTGCATATTCATAGCGTGTAGAGACTGATTAGCTTATTCAAATTGCGCGAGCAAGTGTGAAAGCTAGCTAGGATTTAATTGGGCAGTATTGATCGGATTGGCCGCGTGTTATAATATGTGTCCGTATAATGCTGTGCATCTCATTACGGCGGTGGCGCGAACAATAATAGCCTGTCGGGAATACGGGTCAGTTGTGACTCGTGAATGCTCGCGACACACAGGAATCATAGGAACACAAAGAGAATAAATAGGTCCAATTGTTATTGGGTATTCCGTTCGCTATCAATGTTTTAAGACTTTTTACAATTGTCACACGTATATGAGACCCGAGGTATAAAAAACGTCCTTTAACGTTACGTTGCCTAACTGTTTAATATAGAGAGACAAAACTATATAAAATCTCGAGTCCCGTATGTTCCCGTGTTTCTCTGATAAATTTTATAGACAGGCAAACACTTACATTCCGTGTCCGACCGCAACAATTGTTTACCCGACATTCGAACCGAGGACCTCTTGCATTTAACGCGAGTCAACACGGTTAATAATTAAGCCACTGAGGCCGTTCCGCAGGAGAATAATACTGTACGCATCCATAAAAAAGCGTATTGTCCGAGGCGCCGTAATGGCGGCTTCATGCCACCTCAAAAAAGGACGCCCAATGGTCTGCGCCGGAGCAAATCTTTAATTGAGATTGTTTTGTGATAATAATTAGTCCCTTTTGTTAGTTTTATTTCACACACACTACAGTAAGCTTAGGCTATTGATACAAGGTAAATTATGAGAGGATTGTACTGTTTACTACCTAAAAGTTGACTGTAATAAACGCCAACAACGAGAAAACCTTCGATATGCCTTTTATCACAGTTATTGCGGCTATAAGGTGTGAAAAGAGGCAGTTTATGAATGACATAATCCGTAATCCGTAATGAGTACGGCCCGCAATTAATCTCATTAAATACGTCTTGACGAAAACCCCGATAACGCACGAGCAATAAATATGTAAAGGGATCGCCGCGGTACGAGAGAATTTATCGTTAAATTTCGATATAGAAACCAGTTTTGTTAAGTGGCGAGCGTAGAGGCGAAGCGGTGGGATCGCAAAACGACGTGAAAGAAATATGTTTTAGTAGGTTAGCGAGCTTGTTTACGATCGGATTCCTGAGCTCCAATTATGTTGCCATTAGTTACATAATGTTTTGTACGCTAATTAAAATTTCCCACCCACATCCATGTGTCTTTGAGCTATTTTAAACACACACTACATCGAAAAACGTTCAATTATGGCTTGGTAAGTAGGTATACGCGATAAACATGGGCCCTACTGCGATCGAAGGCTACAGTATCGAAGCGGGCCTCCGCCGCCATCTGCCGGGCGCTTAGGGCGGCTCAGACCGGATACCAGACCAGTTTCGTAGTGACATCGAACACCTGCAAGTCGCCAGCTTTGGACCTATCGCGCAAACTTATTTACATTGTAATAGAGGCTTTGAATTCGTTGACGCAATCATTATACAATATTAGGTGACCGATCGTATCTCGTTATTTGAAGATAAATTATTGTCTATCACTGCAACTCATCTATAATTAATATTACTCATCTCAGGTCCATTTACTGATTCAAAGTGAAAAAGTAAAGATAAAGTTGGATAGACCATTTATCGAGGAAGGCTGGCCATAAGCTATAGGCTGAGGCTTGAGAAATTATTCATCTTTGAAGGCTTTCGTTGCGTGCGTTGCGAAAACGGTTAAAAAAAAACAAAAAATATGTATGAAAAGACAATTTATCTTTAAATTAACTAAACAAATGTCGTGTGATTTAACTAAACAATTGACGCGGACGACGTCGTGGGTAACAGCCATAACTTATAAAGACGATGAGGTAATATTTATTCCAAGCGAAGTCGCGAGCACAGCTATTAGAATATATAAATTTATTAAAAAAAAGTGATGACCAACACAACCTATATTGTCTAATGATGATTTTCCCCTAACTCTAAATGTCTACACTAGAACAAAGACTCATGGTACTGTACTTGTGCGTAGAAATAACTCCGCAATCGCGTCGTCAGCGCGGACGTCTACAAAAGGATGCGAAGGTGACGTTTCGAGTCGACATTCGTATTAACGTAATATTTATGGAACGGCGAAGGAACAATAAAGTTACGTAAGAGCACGCAAGACGCGCCGACGACGGCATCTCGGCGCTCGACCCTGCCACACTTCTCGTTACTGACCCACATTGCTTACACATTACAATAATCACATTACATTACTCACACATGCATAACATTAGCATTTCCTTGAGCCGAAACGACTCGCGATCTCTCGTTTTGACGCTGGTCGTTTTATTGCGGTTAAGTTTTTCTCTTATATTATATTTTAACAACATGGTGAATCCTACAAATACATTACATATGTATGTTCTTATTTAGCGTTAAGTAATTCTATTGTATTAATATGTAAAGTTATTATGAGTCAATAATAAATTATATATTTGTTGGATTATGTTTTTATTATATAATAAATATCTGTCAGACCATAAATCCATGCATTTGTTAAAATTAATTTAATCTAATGAGTGTTACTTGGGGTAGTAACAATTTATAGCTACCACTAGTATAAAAATCGTTCTGTACGCTTAAACTTAAGTTTAACTAATACTGCCTAAATTTCTTACTAGTTGTATGTAGTATTTTGAAAGTCGAAAAAGGGGAGATATATAGATTAGAACATTTTGCATAATTCATTTGCCTAAGGCCAAACTTGGTAGCGGAGAGCAGTGTGAACGAAGGAGGCATAGTTGTGCGCCATAAATTTGATTCAAACTTGTTATTGTAGCAGTTTACACTTGGGGGAAGCATAGGGTGCTCCATCATAGAGATAGTTTCATAAATTTTACGCTCTGTGAAGACTTTAATTAATTATACTTGATTAAAGTGAGCAGAATTATGTTTCGGCACTTATTTATAGACCGCGTCGATTATGTTAATATATGCGTGCGTCATTCTGGTCTATGATGGAGTAAAGTTTGAGGATATAAAAACTGGGCGGATTAGAGAAGGCAAGTTTTTAAGGTTTGATGGAGAAATGTGATTACAGATTAGGTAACAGCTGTCATTTGGAGGTATTTAAATATGTAGATTTGAACCGTGTTATTCGCTCTTAGAATTTCTGTTCGGATGTTGGGAATTGTCGAATGCATAGGCTCCGGAACAAGGATAACAGTAAACAAAGCACGAGAGAACCCCGACGGCAATGACCTCGACGACGGCCGATAATAGGAGATAAAAAAATGAAAATAACCGAGACACCTAGCGGACTGGCGCACCGTCACTAGCCACGTGACAATATTATTTATAGCGCAGCCAAGTGACGGGCTGTGAATGAACATTTCTTTTCGTGACGAGAGAAATGGGCGTGTGCGTCTCCCGGTGTCAATGTAGGCCACTGCCAAGGTCGAATGTTTAATATAAAGTCTGGCGCCGGGACATTAAAATGGTCGCCCCTCCCCGAGACCCCCTTTATCCCCAAGTCGGGCGGCGGTCGCAATCGTTGCACTCGTTATTTATTATCTGAAGGCATCCCCCGCCCGGCGAATGCTTCCAGTCTTACGCTACATAAGCGCTTATATAAAAGTGCAGCGAGTACAATGGAGCGGGCTTATCAAAGTCGCTCGTATCGCGGAGCGAGGGACGAACAGCTGATGCGATAAAATTACGTCCCTGACCTATTCCGTGTGTGACGAAACCCATTGGGCGATTACCTCCTCTTAGGTAGGCACATGTGAGCTTGGCCGTTACGAAAATACGTACCAATATTACTACTAAACTGAGCGGAGATTTCAATGTCTTGAACTGATCGATACGCCAATCTGACAGCCGTGTCCGCTATCCATAGTTGATAATTGTTGCAGTTCAGCAGTTGAAAGTAGCCTTGTAAATTCGGATCTCAAATCGTGGATCGATGAAAGCAAAACGTGCTT